TACATATATATATATATATATATATATATATATACATATATATATATACATATATATATATATATACATATATATATATACATATATATATATATATATATATACATATATATATATATACATATATACATATATATATATATATATACATATATATATATATACATATATATATATATATACATATATATATATATATATATATATATATATATATATATATATATATATATATATATATATATATATATATATATATATATATATATACATATATATATATATATATATATACATATATATATATATATATATATATATATGTCGTACCTAGTAGCCAGAACTCACTTCTCAGCCTACTATGCAAGGCCCGATTTGCCTAATAAGCCAAGTTTTCATGAATTAATGTTTTTTCGTCTACCTAACCTAACCTAACCTAGCTTTTTTTGGCTACCTAACCTAACCTTACCTATATATATAGGTTAGGTTAGGTTAGGTAGGGTTGGTTAGGTTCGGTCATATATCTACGTTAATTTTAACTCCAATAAAAAAAATTGACCTCATACATAGTGAAAAGGGTAGCTTTATCATTTCATAAGAAAAAAATTATAGTAAATATATTAATTCAGGAAAACTTGGCTTATTAGGCAAATCGGGCCTTGAATAGTAGGCTGAGAAGTGAGTTCTGGCTACTAGGTACGACATATATATATATATATATATATATACATATATATACATATATATATTATTAAATATGACCGAAAAAGTAAGATTAATAATTCTAACACGAATTTTCTCAATCTTTCGTACATTACGCTTCACTGTTGGAGGTAAATCAAAAATCACTTCTCCAAAATTCATTTTTATTTCTAGTCTGACGCGACACGGGCGCGTTTCGTAAAACTTATTACATTTTCAAAGACTTCACAAATACACAACTGATTAGAACGTATCTCTGATTTTATATCTACATTTGAGTGAGGTGGGAAGGGTGATGTGGCATTAACACAAGACAGAACAGGAGGGGATATTAATAGGGTATTAAAAGTATCAACACAAGACAGAACAGAAACAATGGGTATTGAATAGAAGTGTTTTTAGAAAGCCTATTGGTCCATATTTCTTGATGCTTCTATATTGGAGCGGAGTCTTGAGGTGGGTAGAATATAGTTGTGCAATAATTGGCTGTTGATTGCTGGTGTTGACTTCTTGATGTGTAGTGCCTCGCACACGTCAAGCCGCCTGCTATCGCTGTATCTATCGATGATTTCTGTGTTGTTTACTAGGATTTCTCTGGCGATGGTTTGGTTATGGGAAGAGATTATATGTTCCTTAATGGAGCCCTGTTGCTTATGCATCGTTAAACGCCTAGAAAGAGATGTTGTTGTCTTGCCTATATACTGGGTTTTTTGGAGCTTACAGTCCCCAAGTGGGCATTTGAAGGCATAGACGACATTAGTCTCTTTTAAAGCGTTCTGTTTTGTGTCTGGAGAGTTTCTCATGAGTAGGCTGGCCGTTTTTCTGGTTTTATAGTAAATCGTCAGTTGTATCCTCTGATATTTGTCTGTAGGGATAACGTTTCTATTAACAATATCTTTCAGGACCCTTTCCTCCGTTTCACAGTAAATCCATCAGAAGTGCCTTGTTCATGTTCAATACTCTGACCATTATGAATGCTATAATGATTAATAGTAAATAAGTGTATGTATGTATGTATGTATGTGTATATAAACGGAGGAAAGGGTCCTGAAAGATATTGTTAATAGAAACGTTATCCCTACAGACAAAAATCAGAGGATACAACTGACGATTTACTATAAAACCAGAAAAACGGCCAGCCTACTCATGAGAAACTCTCCAGACACAAAACAGAACGCTTTAAAAGAGACTAATGTCGTCTATGCCTTCAAATGCCCACTTGGGGACTGTAAGCTCCAAAAAACCCAGTATATAGGCAAGACAACAACATCTCTTTCTAGGCGTTTAACGATGCATAAGCAACAGGGCTCCATTAAGGAACATATAATCTCTTCCCATAACCAAACCATCGCCAGAGAAATCCTAGTAAACAACACAGAAATCATCGATAGATACAGCGATAGCAGGCGGCTTGACGTTTGCGAGGCACTACACATCAAGAAGTCAACACCAGCAATCAACAGCCAATTATTGCACAGCTATATTCTACCCACCTCAAGACTCCGCTCCAATAAGCGTCCCCGCGGCTCGGTCCTCGACCAGGCCTCCTTTTTGTTACACACCCCCTAGAAGCAGCCCATAGCAGCTGTCTAATTCCCAGGTACCTATTTACTGCTAGGTAAGAGGCACATCAGGGTGAAAGAAACATTTTGCCCATTTGTCTCCACTTCCACCGGGAATCGAACCCGGAACCTCAGGACTACGAATCCGAAGCGCTGTCCATCCAGCTGTCAGGTGCTCTCTACAAAATCAACCCAAAACTGAGAAAAAATGCACCAGCATGCATAAGTGGAACAAAGCAAGCAACTACCTGAAGCAAATTCGGTACCCAATTGTAATGATGCAAATGATCATTGCTGTAGTGTAAACACCCTAAACATGATTTCCCCGACTGACACAAGGTGGCAGCCCATGTCACTTGAGATGCTACCCAGCCAGTCCTCTCACTCATGACCCACCCAAATTGAATCCCTATACCACACAAGACATGAGGAACCTGACAGCCCACCAGAAAAATAGTGCTTCAATGCTTGATTTCTGGGATGGACTGCTCAATAGCTCCCTGGGCTAATTTACAACGGTGCCTCGACAGAGGAGGCTGGCATTTCTGAAAAAATTAGTAATAAAAAATGGGACAAGAACCGAGGCAGAAGAAAATCAATTGCATGCCAAACACCAAAGTGCAACTCAAGTGCAGCCACAGAACAGCATATAATGTACACCACAATGGTCAAAAACAAGTATTAAAGACTCATAATACAGAAGCTGCAATCTTAGCCAAAAATGCCAGAGAAGGTTAAAGGCAATGATAACCATTACCAAGCCGCAAAAATAAAAAATCTTGCTTTTGGCAAAGGGCATAAAGCTCCCCAACTTGATGATAAGAAGCAAGGGCTTATAAAATAGGTGCCTTAGAAAAGGAGTCTGCCAACTGTGGGAGAAACTTGAGTGAGAAGAGAAAATCTCCAAGATACAATCTAAAGACAAGAAAGGAGCAGGTCCATTCAAGGATAGCCAAATGTTTTGTAAGGCCACAGAAAAAAGGTCTTATCCACTTCCCATTCTATTGAAATCAGATGGGAGAGAGAGTACCCATGAGAACATTTGACACCACGTATAAACAGCACAACCTAAGACAAACATAAACAACCTAAGAAGCAAGGTTATCCTTAGATTCCAACCCAATGAACATGGAACAACCCCCTTCCTTACCCTGTTTAGACAATGGACCATCACAGTGAAATCTGAATGAGGACAGAGCAGAGCCCTGCATTAGACATGCACAAGAGTGCCATGTAGACTGCCACAAACTCCTGCTATTCCCAAGCTCCCTTGCATCATTAGAATGAGCCAGAATTCTGGTCCTGTCTCCAGGCCTGTCTGGGGATACCCAGATGCCTGGTGGAGCTCCCAAAAGCCGGTGATCTCAGGTGGATGTCCTAGGATTCTGCAAGAATTTGCAAACAAATCTGAAAAAAGTACAACTTGCCAACTTTTTGTAATATTATTTCTGAACAGGGTACAAAAAACAGACAAAAACCAAACTCAAACATTCCTAGGCCTATTGCAGCACATATGTATTATATTAGGCCTAAGACAATGTATATTAGGCCAAGGCTTACCTGGACAAGTTAAATTAGGTTCTTTAGTTCCTTTTTCATTTTTTAGAATGCCAGTTTGGCTAACTCAGTAATATCAAATGTGAACTCTTTTTGGGTCCAACAATACACTTTTGTATGTTTGGGCAAATAGTTGCTACAAGTACAGTACAATCCTTATTAGAGGATGGGCTTCTAAAAACCTTATACTCACATTAAATATTACCATAAGAAGCCTAGGTTGAAATACACAAATTAATTACACTAACGTGATGCATCAATGAGAAAATCAGTAGGAGCCGTGTTGAGGATTCAAACCTATGCGATGGGTGTTCCCAGACACACTCCAGACAATTAGGCCACGACATGGTCAAAAAGATTGCAACCTGGGGTACTACTGCACCCACAAGGATTCTTGAGGGTGAGTGCAGTAGTACCCCAGTTTGCAATCCCTTTGACTTTGTCGTGGTCTAGTTGTCTGGAGCGTGTGCTGTGCCTGGGAACACCCAGCGCATAGGTTCGAATTCGAATCATGGTACCTACTGATTTTCCCTTAGGTTGAAATTATCCTTTAATATGCAACAATTAATAATATATATACTACTAGCTATAAATATAACAGCACTTACCAATTCAAGATATGCTTCTCTTGTGTACCCTCTTCGCATGAGCTCCAAAATTCTTGTACTGCCACATTGAGCAGGCAGATGAATGCTTTTACAGATGTTTTTTCTCTCTTTAATCAAATATAACACATCATCTGGGAAATCTTTTGGGTGCGGCGAGGTAAATCTAATACGCATTTCAGGATCAACTTGAGACACCTTGTCCAAGAGGTGTGCAAATCTCAGTCCTCCTGTCTTTGGTTTATATATTGTTTTAAATCCCTTAACCAAATTAGAGTCTTTATTTTCATGGTCTACAAAACTTGCATGATGAATCTGTGATGTATCTCGATAACTATTCACATTCTGACCTAAGAGAGTTATCTCCTTTACTCCTTGATCAGACAAGTAATGCACTTCCTCGAGAATTGATTCAACACTTCGTGAACGTTCTCGTCCTCGAGTATAAGGAACAATACAATATGAGCACATGTTGTCACAGCCACGCATTACTGAGATAAATGCAGACATTCTATTTGTTGACAAACTCACTGGTACAATATCAGCATAGGTTTCCTCCAATGACAGCAAAACATTAACAGCCGCTTCACCTATAACAAAATGAGAAAGTTTTTCTTTTATTATTTATGAAATACTGTTGATTTGCCAAGTTAAAAATAAAGTGTCCCACTATAATAAGGTTGTTAGGCAGAAGCAGGAAATGATATCTACTGAAATTGTCAAACAGTACCCTCTAGGTTTGGTAAATGTCAGTGCCATTTTTCCATTTGTTACACTTACCTGAATTTACCTGAGGGCCACTAACACTACTGGCCTCGAAGCCAGCCGCTTGTCTAAAGTCCTCCCCATTGCCTGCCTTTTTTTTTTTTTTTTTTTTTTTTTTGAGATATATACAAGAGTTGTTACATTTTTGTACAGCCACTAGTACGCGTAGCGTTTCAGGCAGGTCCCTGGAATACGATCCCCGCCACAAAGAATCGTTTTTACAACCAAGTACCCATTTTACTGTTGAGTTAAGCAGAGGCTACAGTTAAGGATTTGCGCCCAGTAAATCCTCCCCAGCCAGGATATGAACCCATGACAAAGCACTCGCGGAACGCCAGGTGAGTGTCTTACCACTTCACCACGGAGCTTTGATCTTTTTCAGTTGGATTTTAAAATTTAACAGTTTTGGCATTTACTACTTCGGTGGGTTGGCAGTTCCATGGGTTGAACTTGAAACCGTTGCTCCTTGTTTGTGTTACATCTGACCTTTTGAAGAAATTGTCCAGATCAACATCCTCCAAATTGTCCAGTACAGTATTTTATAAGTTTCAATGAGATCAACCCTATCATGCCTGGTTTGCAATGTTGTTAGCCCTATAGCCCTCAACCGTTCCTGATACGCAAGTTGATTTAGCTCTAGAATTATTTTTGTTGCCCAGTGTTGAACTTTTTCCAGAGCAGCTATGTTCTCCCAAAGATGAGGTCTCAGAAGGATATAGTTGCTCTAAGGAAACGTGTTCCTGAAAATTTTAAACGCTAACATGGATGGAGTGAGATAAAAAAATACTGGAGCTAAATGATATTAAACAGCTGAAGACGTCAGACATTGTTGCACTAACCGAGATGAAATTCGAAGGTGATGTTTTAACACTTTCGCACCTACGGCATGCGCACCACCAACTTAGAGGTCATTCCCCCGGCGTGCGGGCGATCACATGGCAACACCGAAATGTATATACTCGGTTTAGTTTTCTCACCTTAATACTCGTGATACGTTGTTCGTTTTGGTATCATTGTGTTCGCGATTAAATTCCCTGCAAGTGTATATGCATATAATGTCCAAATGCCTGGCGTGACTCCCTGCAGCAAAGCCTAAAGTTACCCGTGAACGAGCACCAATTTGCACTCTGCACCCTAATGTGTATACTCGTTCAGTTTGATAACATCAATTTTCGTGTTACGTCTTTCATTTTGGTATCAACTTGTTAGCAATATAAAGGCATGTATTTTAAAACTAGTCCCATAATAATAGAGCAATAACTTGAATTTAAACAAATATTTTAATTTTGGACACTCATCATCATAAAATTATTTATATCCTTCCAGTGTTCTGACATAAATTTCCGTGTTACATATTTCATTTTGGTATCAAATTGTTTGCAATCTAAAGGCACACATTTTAAAACTAGTTCCATAATAATAGCACAATAAATAGAATTTTAACAAATATTTTAACATTTTTACCAAAAACATATTTATAATCTTTCAAGTGTTCTGACATAAATTTTCGTGTTACATCTTTCACATTGGTATCAAATTGTGCGCACTCTAAAGGCTCTCATTTTGAAACTATCCCGAAATCGATCAGATAAAAAATTAATTTTATACAAATATTTTTGTATCGGATGCGAGCCCTGTTCACTGCTCGGACTCTAGAGAAAAAAATTGGATGCGAGGGGTGTCTGAAGAGTGCATTAGTGTTAAGGAAAAGAAGGTACTGTAGTGTTTTAACTGTATAAATCTCTGGTGTGGCCCCACTTGGATTATTGTATCCAAGCATTGAGAACTCATCTTCAAAAGGACATAACTGCTCTGAAAAAAGTGCAAAACTGGGCAACGAAAATTATTCCAGAACTAAGTCACCTCTCATACCAGGAACGTTTGAGTGTCATAGGGCTAACAGAACAGCAAACTAGGCATGACAGGGTGGATCTCACTGAAACTTTTAAAATACTGAACAAGTTGAAGGTGTTGATCCAAACAATTTCTTCAAAAGGTCAGATGTAACACAAACAAGGAGCATCGGTTTTAAGCTCAACAATCCACAGTGTAGGACTGAGAACAGGAGATGCTTTTTCACCCACAGGGTTATAAACCCATGTAACTGTCTACCCTCCGAAGCCATAAACGACAAAACTTAAATTTTAAAATTCAGCTGGAAAAATTCACAAGGGCAAATGGGGGAACCTTTGACAAGCTGCTGGTTTTCTGTCCTCACCGAGGCCACTAGTATGTTAGTGGCTCTCGGGTAAATTCAGGAAAATATGCACATAAGATGCCTGTCCTAGACAAAATTAATTATTATTATAAATTAGGAATCAAATAATAATTCAATAATAATAATACTGTAATAATAGAATCTGTGGGAGCCGGGATGAAGGTTTGAACCTATGCAGTGGGTGTTGCCACACACACGCCCTAGTCAACTAGGCCATGACATGGTAAAAGGATTGCAACCTGGAGTTCTACTGAACTCACAAGGGTTTTCCGAGGCATCCACTGAAGCCAGGCCAGGATTTTCACACAATCCCCCCTATGCACTCTGCCTCTGGCATCTAGGAATGTTCTACCTCTGACGGTACTCTTTCAATACACAGAGAGGAATCACACTAATGTGAAGTGTCAATGAGAAAATCCATAGGAGCCGTGATGAGGGTTTGAATCTATGCGGTGGATGTTCCCACGCACACGTCCTAGTCAACACGTCGTGGCCTAATTGACTAAGGTGTATGTGTGGGAACACCCAACGCATAGGTTCGAAACCTCATCACAACTACGGATTTTCTCATTGATACATCATGTTTGTGTGATTAGTCTCTGTGAATAATAATAATTAGCAGTTTATTTTCCCTTAAATATCCTCTAATTTTCATTATATAAACTTTTAAAGAAAGATAAGTTTCTGCCCTTTCCACTCGGGTAACTACTAAGGATTAAGGCCCACCAAAAGAGAGGCATCGCCTTACATTCAGTGCTTGATTTGGGTCTAAATTCATGTTATACAAGCTAAATACCTGGAAACATTGCTGAACGTAGAAATTAGTTTTAGGAGGTATTTACCAAAACTTGCTTTAGTGGTGAGCTGCTATTTTCCAGTGCTATTATCTGTTTAAAGAATGCAAAGAGGAGCTTTGCGAGCCATTGTATACCATATTTAATAAATCATTAGTCAGGCAGAGTGCCAGAGTCGTGGAAGGTTGATAGTGTGGTAACAATTTTTAAGAAAGGAGATAGATCACTTGCATCAAAAGGTCACAGATTTAAAATAATTAAACAAAACTGCCAAAGAAATGTATGAAAATTCACATTGAAAATTCAGTGGTAGATGGTTGCAACAAGTTAGGTGAGAAGGTGGTGGAGGCCAAAACCATCAGTAGTTTCAAAGCGTTTCAAAGTACAGTACTGTACTGGGAAGACGGGACACCAGGAGCGTTGCTCTCACCCTGTAATTACACTTAGATAATTATATGATTTAACTATTTCCATGATAAATAGAAGCATAATTTGTTAATAACTAGCAAGCTGAAATCCAGAGAATAAGGTGCCATTTACTGACCTTGATCGGTGAGTGCCAGGAGCCTGGGAAGGTCACGGTAACTGTCTGGACCAGCCACAATATCTATACTTTTATCTTTTTCCAGCAACTTCTTCTTGAGTCTTTCTGCCATACAACCCAACACTCCAATTTTCATTGGTATGGCCATCTTGTTAAGTGATCGCTTATTTTTTAGGTTTCGAAGATATTCCAGTTTATTCCAAACCTTTTGTTCGGCACTGTCTCGAATGGCACAGGTGACTACCAGTACCACATCGGCAGTCTCTCTGGAAGTGGCACGAACGTAGCCATGATCCCTAAGGACAGACCAGGCCACCTCACTGTCACTCTCATTCATCTGACAACCATACACATCGAAGTATACCCTACGACCGTGCCCATCGAGGTCCTTAACGCTTACATATGGGTGAGATACTTTCTCTAAATCTCTTTTTGAAAGTTTGTTGTTTGGCTTCTCACCAGCAGTATTATTTGCTATAAAATACTCTAAACTCGGACCTACTGGAATTTTTCTTTTTTTTAATTTCATTTCAACGAAAGAATCTTGAGTGTTGGATGACGTTTGAGCACTGGAATAGTGCCTAGAGTCATGTCTTGTGCTAAAAACGGTATGTTTGGTGGGATCACTGCTATCATACTTTAATTTCCCTTGGTCTAAAAAATGACATAGGCCTAGTGTTGAGCTGTACAACACTTGTAAGTGGTATCCGACCTGTGGCTGCTGGCAACACCGGCCCACTCCACTCACGCGACCATTAACCACTACTTTATATCCCAGCGTTCTCAACGAGAGCATAATGCAACCGGCAGCAGAACCAGGAAACATGCTGGTTCTTCTATGTCCTGTTAGTGTTGCGTCCTGTTAGTGTTGCGTCCTGTTAGTGTTGCGTCCTGGTAGTGTTGCGTCCTAGTAGTGTTGGGTCCTGGTAGTGTTGCGTCCAGGTAGTATTGCGTCCTGGTAGTGTTGCGTCCTAGTAGTGTTGGGTCCTGGTAGTGTTGCGTCCAGGTAGTGTTGTTGTTGTTGAGGGGACCGGCCCCAAGACCTGGCAGGGGACACGACATACGTATAAATTAACCCAATAATTAATAACATTTATGATACATATAAATGTTCAAATGCATTGATTTATTTGTTACATTAGTAAATAAAAGATATACGTGAGAAATTAGAAACGGAGAATAATATTGTTTGAGGCCCGTATCCGCCCCAAAACCCACAGGTTTCAGCACAGTATTATTACGGGACACACATAAATGTACTTAGTTTGTGCCCGTGCCACCTCTTGCGTGGCTTAATCTTTATCAATCAATCAATCAAATGGATCTTGTGTCCCTACCCATGTTCCAGAGGCAATTGAACATTACCTCCTTCACTGTCTCAGACAGTGGAGGAGGCAATTAGTGCCAGAGGCAGAATTAATTTCAAACAAGTACTTATCACCCTCAAAATGCCGAGAATAGATTAGAGAGAGATCTCTCACTACGTATAAAATATTAAATTACCAAAATATTGACTAAATATCTTCAGTAAGCCAAAAAAAAACTCGCTATGCGTACTAGTGGCTTTACAAGAATGTAAAACTTCAAGTCTCTGTACTCTCATGAACCCAATGTACATTCTTGCAAATAAATAAATAAATAAAAATTTATAAATAAAACTCCAAACACCGGACAATGAACCATAGAAAACGAGAGCCCGCCTACAGGAGCAAGAAGGATCAGCTGACGTAGTAAACACAACATGCTGCCCCTCGCTGTCAAGCCCATCACGTCTTAGTTCCCATCGCTGCCCTTCATACCAACAATGACACTAAGGCGTAATTCTTAAACTTGTCTCGTTTAGTCGTCGCCCTTCCATCCGCTGAAAAGAACGACTTCCAAGCCTTGCCTAATGAACAGGAAAGTGGCATTGTTGATGATTTAGGGATGAGGACGATCGTGGGATCATATGTGCCCGAAGTGGCATTGTGACGCGTCTCCTGACACCACTCTTGCAGTCGTCGGGAGGAGGTGGAACCCTTGACGCAAACGGCACGGTACCTTAAAGAAGAGAACCTCTGCTGCCTGCCTGCAGTACTCCTGCCAGAAGGTACCTTCACACTTCAATCACCATCGGTCAGTCATCACTTCCACCACCATCGGTCAATCATCTCTTCCACCACCATCGGTCAATCATCCCTTCCACCACCATCGGTCAATCATCCCTTCCACCACCATCGGTCAGTCATCGCTTCCAGCACCTTCGGACTGTCATCGCTTCCACCACCATCGGTCAATCATCCCTTCCACCACCATCGGTCAATCATCCCTTCCACCACCATCGGTCAGTCATCCCTTCCACCACCATCGGTCACTCATCCCTTCCACCATCATCGGTCAGTCATCCCTTCCACCACCATCGGTCAGTCATCCCTTCCACCATCATCGGTCAGTCATCCCTTCCACCATCATCGGTCAGTCATCGCTTCCAGCACCTTCGGACTGTCATTGCTTCCAGCACCTTTGTACTGTCATCGCTTCCAGCACCTTTGTACTGTCATCGCTTCCAGCACCTTTGTACTGTCATCGCTTCCACCACCATCGGTCAGTCATTTCCACCACCATCAGTCAGTCAACGCTTCCACCACCGTCGGTCAGTCATCGCTTCCACCACCGTTGGTCAGTCATCGCTTCCACCACCATCAGTCAGTCATCGCTTTCAGTACCTTCATACTGTCATCACTTAGCGGGGACGCTAGGCCGCGAAATCATCTCGAGATAACCTCAAGATAACCCCTAGATCTCTTTCTTTATCAAACTTCTTTAAAAAATTCTCAAATAATTTATAGGTTGTGTGGGAGTCTATGTTCTCCTATTCCACATTCCATAAACATGGCATTTATTCACATTAAATTCCATTTGCCAAGTGGTGCTCCATACACTTATTTTCTCCAGGTCTTCTTGAAGGGCATGACAATCATCTAAGTTTCTTATCTTCCCTATTATCTTAGCATCCTCAGCAAATAGGTTCATATAATTTTGTATTCCATCTCGTAGATCGTTTATGTAGACAATGAACATTACTGTTGCAAGAACTGAACCCTGTGGTACTCCACCTGTAACATTTCTCCAGTCTGATACGTTGCCTCTGATTACTGCCCTCATTTTTCTATCAGGAAATTTTTCATCCATGTTAGAAGCTTACCTGTCACCCCTCCAATATGTTCCAGTTTCCAGAACAACCTCTCATGTGTAACTCTGTCAAAAGCCATTTTTAGGTCCAGATAGATGTGAAGAACTCAACAAGAGATTCCAGGAGGTCTTCACAATAGAGCAAGCAGATTCCCCTATACTAAGAGATGAGGCGGTAAACCAAGCAACCTTGGAGGAATTTGAGCTCACCAGTGATAAGGTCAAAAGGAATCTGTTGGAACTGAATGTGACAAAGGCTGTTGGGCCTAACAGAATCATACCATGGATACTAAAAGAGGGTGCAGAAGCACTAAGTATGCCAGTCTATGGAGTATAACAGGTCACTGGAAACAGAAGACTTACCGGAAAGCTGAAAGACAGCTAATAGGCCAGTTGCACTAACATCACACATAATAAAAGTGTTTGAAAGAGTGATTAGGAATCAAATTTCTAGTTTTATGGAAAACAATGAATTGCACAATCCAGGACAACATGGATTTAGAGCGGGAAGATCCTGTCTGTCACAGTTACTCAACCACTATGACAAAATCACAGAAGCCCTAGAAGAAAAGCAAAATGCAGATGTTGTATACACAGACTTTGCAAAGGCGTTCGACAAATGTGACCATGGGGTGATAGCTCACAAAATGAGGTCAATGGGAATAACTGGAAAAGTAGGACGCTGGATACTCAATTTCCTGTCGAACAGAACACAAAGAGTAACAGTCAATCAGATAAAATCGAGTCCAAGCGATGTTAAAAGCTCTGTACCTCAAGGTACAGTCCTTGCACCGCTACTGTTCCTTATTCTCATATCTGATATAGACAAAAATACACGCCACAGCTTCGTGTCGTCCTTTGCAGATGACACAAAAATCAGCATGAAAATTACCTCTGCTGAAGACATTGAAAAACTACAAGCAGATGTCAACAAAGTTTTTGATTGGGCAGCAGAAAATAACATGATGTTTAACAGTGATAAATTTCAGGTACTCAGGTACGGCAAAAATGAGGATCTGAAACATAATACAGGGTACAAAACACAATCGAATCTTCCCATAGTAGGAAAACAGCATGTCAAGGATTTGGGAATAATGATGTCCGACGATCTAACGTTTAGGGAGCATAACCAAGCAAATATCGCGTCAGCCAGAAAAATGATCGGATGGATTACGAGAACTTTCAAATCCAGGGATCCCATCACAATGGTTGTACTCTTCAAGTCACTTGTGCTGTCCCGTCTCGAGTACTGCTCAGTACTCACTTCCCCCTTCAGAGCAGGAGAGATTGCTGAAATAGAGGGAATACAGAGAACATATACGGCACGCATAGACGAGATAAAACACCTAAATTATTGGGATCGTCTCAAAGCTCTCCAAATGTACTCTCTAGAAAGGAGACGAGAGAGATACCAAATAATATACACCTGGAAAATACTGGAGGGTCAGGTCCCAAATCTACACAGTAAAATAACAACGTACTGGAGTGAACGATATGGAAGAAAATGCAAGATTAAACCTGTGAAGAGCAGAGGTGCCATAGGCACAATCAGAGAGCACTGTATAAACATCAGGGGTCCGCGGTTGTTCAACGTCCTCCCAGCGAGCATAAGAAATATTGCCGGAACAACCGTGGACATCTTCAAGAGAAAACTGGACGGTTTTCTAAGAGAAGTTCCGGATCAGCCGGGCTGTGGTGGGTACGTGGCCCTGCGGGCCGCTCCAAGCAACAGCCTGGTGGACCAAACTCTCACAAGTCGAGCCTGGCCTCGGGCCGGGCTTGGGGAGTAGAAGAACTCCCAGAACCCCATCAACCAGGTATCTAATGTAGTCCCAATATACAAAAACAGTGACAGGCAAGAGGCATTGAACTACAGTACAGGGCAGTTTACCTAAATTGTATACCATGCAAGGTGAGGGAGAAGATCGTGAGGAAAAGGCTCGTAGAACATCTAAAAGTAGTAGCCTTGTATCAAACCACCAGCATGGTCTTAGGGGTGGTAAATTGTGCCTAACAGGTTTAATAAAATTCTATGACCAGGCGACAAAAATTAGGCAAGAAAGAGAAGGGTGGGGCAGACAGCATTTTCTTAGACTGTCAGAATGTATTTGACACAGTACCCCATAAGAGGCTGTTACAAATATTGGAGAAACAGGCAGAAGTAAAAGGTGAGGTGCTCCAGTGGATAAGGGAGTATCTAAGCAACAAGAAACGGTGAGTAACTGTGATGGGGAGACATCAGAGTGGTGAGATGTCACCAGTGCTACGGGGCTCTGTACTTGCCCCCATTTTGTTTCTGATTATATGTAAATGATCTTCCAGAAGGTATAGACTCATTCCTCACAATGTTTGTTGATGATGCAAAAATTATGAGAAGAATCAAGACAGATGAAGATAGACAGAGACTACAAGATGACCTGGACAAACTGGAGGAATGGTCTAGAAAATGGCTACTAAAGTTTAACTCGGGAAATATAAAGTAATGAAATTAGGTGAAGGGAGCAGGAGGCTGAACACAAGGTACCATCTGGGAGGTGAAATCCTGAATGAGTCAAATAGAAAGATCTGGGGGTTGATACCACACCGAACCTGTCCCTAGAAGCCCACATCAAGGATATCATCAGCTGCATATGCTTGATTGACCAACATAAGAACTGCCTTAGAAACTTGTGTAAGGAATCATTCAGAACCTTTGTATACCACTTATGTCAGACCAGTCTTGGAGTCTGCAGCTCTAGCCTGGAGCCCATACCTAGTTAAACACAAGACAAAGTTAGAGAAGATTCAGATATATGCCACCAGACTAGTCCCAAAACTGAGAGGTATGAGCTATGGAAATTACTGTAAACCTCACGTCCCTGGAAGACAGAAGAGTAAAGGGAAACATGATTACCACCTGCAAAATTCTCAGAGGAATTGACAGGGTGGACAATGACAGACTATTTAGCATGGGTGTAAACAAGGGGACACAGGTGGAAACTTAGTAAACAAATGAGCCACAGAAACATTAGAAAGAATTTGTTCAGTGTCAGAGTACTTAATAAATGGAATGCATTTGTTGTGTTGTGGTGGAAGCAGACTCCATACACAGTTTAAAATGTAGATTTGATAGAGCCCAATAGGCTTAAGAATCTGTACACCAGTTGATTAATTAACAGACGAGAAGCGGAACCAAAGAGCCAAAGCTCAAACCCTGCAAGCACAACTAGGCGAGTACTTCTAGTGCCTTTTTGGCTGGTCTTCATTTCCTGCGCCTTATTTACAGGGCATCACCTTCAAAGCCTTTTGGCAGACTTCACCTTCAGAACCTTCGGACAGTCTTCACTCAACAAGACGTTCCTGGAGGTCTTCAAACCAGAACCAGAATGGTGACAACAGATGACCAGAAGCAACACTAGACAGAAATATAGTTAACGTAGAAGTGGTAAAAAAGATGCCTGGAGGAACTGATGCAGTATGTATGTATGAATGTATGCAGCAGTATGACCAGACCAGATATCACCTTGGTTACTGAAAGAAGCTGCAGGAATTTACCCATAAACTATAGCATTCAAAATTACACTAGAGAATGGAGAGCTACCAGAAATCTGTAAAAAGGCAAATGTAGTTCCAATATTCAAGAAAGTTAAAGACATGAAGCACTAATCAATAGATCAGTGTCATTAACATGGCGATTGAAAAGGTCATCAGAAAAAGTATTGTAGAACATTTTGGAAGAGTAACTTTTATAACACACACACACACACAACATGGATTCAAAGAGGAAAATTATGCTTAACAAACAATTGAATTCATTAACAAGGTCACCAAAATAAGACGAGAGGAAAGAAGGATGGGTAGATTGCTCTTTAAATTTATGTAAAGGACCTCGCAAAAGCCATGAGCTTATACATGTCAATACACACAGAAATCACAATAACGTGATGCATCAAATGAACAAATCCACAAGGGCCGTGACAAGGATTTGAACCTGCGTCAGGGAGCATCCCAGACGCAGGGATGAAAATTCTTGTTTCCTGTTTTGGTGGTCGGCAAGTGGAATGCATTAAATGATGGGGGGGTTAAAGCTAATTCCATCCATAAAAAAAAAGTATGAGGAAAATGTCAATGTTGAGAGGTAATTATTCTGCCAGGTATAAATGGAAAGGAGACAGAGCATAGAGGGCTAGATCTCACTCCCAAGTAGTCATTGTTAGGTAAGCATCAGTCAGTCATCGCCTCCAATTCTATCAGTCAGTCATTACCATTAGAAAACACTAGGGGCCTGACGGCTGAGTGAACAGCACTCGGGATTCGTAGTCATAGGGTTCGGGGATCGACCCACGGCAGAGGTGGAAACAAATGGGCAGTTTCTTTCACCCTGATCCTCCTGTTCACCTAGCAGCAGTAAATAGGTACCTGGGAGTTAGACAGCTGCTATGAGCTGCTTCCTGGGGGAGGGGGTGGAAAAAAGGTCAATTAATTGATTGACATTTGAGAGGCAGGCCCAAAGAGCCAGAGTTCAACTCCCGCAAGCACAGCTAGGTGAGTACTCTCCCAACCACTTGGGCTGGACAGTAGAGCGATGGACTTGCTTCATACAGGTCAGCGTTCAATCCTCGACCGTCCACTTGGCTGGGCACCATTCCTTACCCCTCCCCCCCTATCCCATCACAAATCCTTATCCAGACCCCCCTTCCCAATGCTATATAATTGTAATGGCTTGGTGCTTTCTCCTGATACTTCCCTTCCCTACCATTAGAATATAAGAAACAGGAGTCACCACAGTGAGTCTTTTGGCCCAATCTGAGCAGTGTCCATATAGATCCAATCTCTCGGTCAAGATTGACATAATTGTTATTGTTATGAACTGCCTCGAATATGCTTGTGCAGAAGGATAGCAGATTTGCGAGGCAACATCACCTTTGCTAAAAACCATTGCGAGCCCTTTCTCAGGCCATAGTCTAATTTAGACTATGACTCACAGGTGTATGCTTTGGTGAGTGAATGTGTTGCAGAATGTTTGTTTGTTTGTTTGTGTCTTGGAGTCATGCACTGTACTCAGATGGAGAGATTGGAAGTGGAAGCAAATGTGCTTTCCCTGTCTCCACTGCAACCACCTTACACACAGGTATAGACTACTGACAACTTGATATCCATCTTAGAGCATCAACAAAATCATTACATAACATGATAGATGTAGGCTTGCTTTGCTTCAAGCAAAGTTATAAATACTGTACTGTATATGTATACAGTATATAAGTATAGTACTGTGCTGTATGAGTGAGTTTAGCTGAGTATACAGTATAGTAAATAGGAGCTCCCTCACATGGGTCAATAGAACTTCTGTAGGACTTCCTTTCTTCCTTCCTTCTTATGTTCTTATTTGCAAAGATCCTTTGCAAATCTTTATGTTTCTTCCTTCCTTATGTTCTTATTTGCAAAGATCCTTATCATGCTTGTCAGATGGGGTATTTGTCACAAAAGCTTAGCATAGAGGTGGTGTCATAGTGATTCAAGTGGCTCCTGGCTCAGGGAGCATTTAAGGGAAATACTAAGAAACCAGTATTTTAGAGCAGGGCAAATTTTTGTGCTTTTTGTACTATTTTTATGCTTTTAAATTTAAATTTTTTACTGCATTAACTGGTTTGGTATGGTGTGAATGCATCATTTACCGAGGCTGTACTGGTATTCGACTACTGTATTCTAGTAATCATTCTAGTAATTATTTTCCAGGTGAACTATGGAGCAAAACAAAACGTGCAGATTTTACGTCAAGCGCAAAAAGCGGTACTGCAAGATGTTGGTTAAAGTGGGACAGCACTACTGTGGGCAGCACCTGGTTGAAGAGCACCTTAATGGGGTACAGTACTCAAATGAATATATTGTTGATACTCACACAGTGTTCTGACTTTATTTCTGGGGGGAGCCCCTATGGCTTCCCGGAGCTATCAAGGTTGATAGGAATAGTCCTAACTTTTGACATCAGTCAATGTGGGTGGAGTTCTAGGCCTACCAGGGACCACAGACAGAACCTGACCCCCTCAGGGAGGCACGAGGAGCAATGGCCTATAGAAATGCTCATGTTATTGTGGAGCATTCTATATCTGCTATCAACCGGGACAGGCACCCAGAAAGTTAAGTGCCCCCAAAACACTCCCCTATTCTGGTGAAAACAATAAAAATAGATAAACTAATGGACAGAACTCCCCAAATGAAAACGAGCAAACAAGCATGACATCACACGAGCCGCGCCACACGTCTGCGCAACTCCTTCCCTCCACGGGAGGGGGAAGAGGGAGCCCCAGACCCCCGCTCCGGCAATCCACACCACAGTTCTTCGGCTGATGGGATACGGCTTGGTTGTTGTGGCTCCAGCTTAGACTTTCGTTATGCTGTCCTCTGTTGAGTACTGCTCTTATGGTGGTGTGTGAGCTGGGAGTAATATTCACAGGTACTCGGGCTGCATGTACTTAGGGTTACCTTCCCTGAGTGCCCTATAAGTACCGCCCTAGAAGCATGGGGTTCCCTTCCACGAGTCACCTTGGGTCTACCTCTGTTGGTCTTTTGCTGCTTGGCGATTGACCGCCCTGAGTGTTTTGGGGGTTTCCTCCCTAGTTTGCCTTGGGGTAAGTGATAGTTATTGCAGTGTTCGGGGCACGGGGTACTGCATAGCTAGTTTTCACCTATAAAAGCGACCAGCTCTGTTCCCTCTGGGTACGCTGTCCTCTTGCGAGGTTTTTCTTTTCTTTTTGCCTGGTGGGGGCTCTGCCTTGGTGTTCCTTCCCCCTTTATACTAGGGTTGTTTGTGTTTGGTGGTACCCCCCTGCTTCGCCCTCGTGAGTGGACACGTCCCGGGGGTTCAGCATTAGCAGTGTTGATTGGTAGCTTGGGCACTGGTTAGCAGTACCCTGCCTGGGATAACCCTTAGCAGACCCAGTCTAGGGGCCCTGGGAAACCCCGCGGGAATGCTCAAGTTCAATGGATGTGACCCCTCAGTCCCCTCTCGCTTATTGCGAGTTTGAGGGTTGCTCTGTCCCCCTTATCTCAAGGCAACGCTCATTGTTTTTGCCTCCATCATGCCGCCTGTTGGGTCAGTGACACATTCGACCCCGAGTCCTGCGAGTTTTGTTGCTTGTTTGTGACTCAGTTCACCTAATCTGATGATGGCAGTTTCGGTTGCTGCCTGGGTTTTCCCAATCCTCCGAGCGGGGTATGCTGTTACAAGGAGTGGGGTTTTCCTTTCCCCTCTGTGTACGAGATGTATTTGGGTTTGGTTCCTCCCTAGGTTCGGTTCTATGTCCCTGGGGGTCCTTTGGTTCCATCCTTTTGAAGGTTTTCGGCTTCCCACATCTCTCCGGCTGAAGTGCGGGCAGCCATTGCGGCTTACCTCATGTACGTCCCGGTGTATGCCTCTATAATGGATCCATCTTCCTTCAGGTTTGGGTCTTCGTCTCCATACTGGGTTCATTATGAGGTTCCGGAGTTGCCCTGGCTTGCGGGACTACTATGTTTTCGCTGGATGCTTGGGAAGCATCCACAGAAACCTTCTGTCGTATCCACACATTTGAATGGTGTGAGGTATTGACTGTGGTCTAGGTTTACCTAGGGGGCAATTTTGCACACCTCTATGAGTGCCTTTTCACTCTAGCTCTTCTGTGGGATGTTGGTGCGGTTCAGCTTCATGTGCAGGCTCCCTCTATGTCGGCTGCGCTTGTGGCTGAGGTCTTGCGCACTCGGGGCTTGTTGGCTTCGGTAATGCGTTTCTTTTCCCCTCCTTGAGCTGTCTTCCGATTGGCTTATGGAGGATGTAAAGGCGCTTGGGGTCGTTCCAGGGTCTAGCGCCTTGGCTTTGGATGCTCACGTGTCATCTGCATTTTTGAAGCAGGATCTATTTGCACTGATCCTGCGGATGCGGTGTTGCTGTTTTTCGCTGCATGCCTCACGTGTCAGCAGGTGGTGCTCGCTTTCTCCTTGGAATCCGCTTGGTCCCTGACTCTTAGATTGTCTTCGCCCTTTTGTCCTTTATTATTTGCAGCTTCTGCGGTCGAACAATATATGCAAGCGGCTTCCTCCAGCTGCCGCCCTATGTCTGACTTGTTGATTCTCCGGAGGTCCCGGGTCGGTTCCTCCCAGAGGGGTCATGCCAGGGCCCATGACGTTTGTAAGTTTACTGTTCTTGCTGCCGTCTTTGGAAACATGTCCTGGGCTGACATTCGGGCATGGGGATTTTGGCGGTCGAACAGGATCCTGGCTGCATGCTACCTCGTAAATGTTCCTTGGCCTAGTCGGGCCTGTGTCGCTTTGGGTCGGTGGCTGTAGTCTGCTTGACTTTGAATTGAGGTGTGGAGCACCGACTGCCTCCTGGGTAATTTCCCTTTCTTATTTTGTCTTTGGTGAAGTAACTCCGGGAAGCCATAGGGGCTTGCCCCAAAAAACCAGCGTTGAATGTAATGAAACTCCATTTTCTGGGTGAGTCCCGGGGGCTTCCCGGTAACCCTCCCTCCCTCTGGTCGGCAATTTTTCGCGTATTTTGATATCCAGTCTCTGAACTGCGATGTGGGTTGCCGGCACAGGGGTCTGGGGCTCTCCCTTCACCCTTCCCGGGGAGGGGGGAGCTGCGCAGACGTGCTGCGCGGCTCATGTGACATCATGCTTGTTTTCTCATTTTTATTTGGGGAGTTCTGTCCACTAGTTTGTCTATTTTTATTGTTTTCACCAGAATACGGGTTTGTTTTGGGGGACTTACCTTTCTGGATGACCCGGCCGATGGCAGATATAGAATACTCCACAGTCACATGTGCATTTCTATAGGCCATTGCTCCTTGTGCCTCTCTGAGGGGGCCAGGTTCTGGCTGTGGTCCCCAGTAGGCCTAGAACTCCACCCACATCAACTGATGCCAAAAGTTAGGACTATCCCTATCAGCCGGGATAGCTCCAGGGAGCCTCCAAGACTCAACCAGAAAATGGCATTTCATTACATTCAATGCAGTTTTTTTATGATTATTATTATTATTTATATATACTGTATTCAAGAGGTCTTACATTCTTGTAAAGTCACTAGTACGCATAGCATTTTGGGCAAGTCCTTAATCCTAATTTTCCCCGAAATATAACCCGACAAATCGTTTAACAACCAGGTACCCATTCAGTGCTGGATGATCAATCCCGGTCAATCCTCCCCGGCCAGGATACAAAACAAGGCCAAAGCGCTCAAAAAGCCCCGAGCAAGTGCTTTACTACTAAGCAATGGGGATTGCATGGGGACTTTATTAAAGAAATTACAGTACATTTATTTTAATCGCTGAATATATAGTACATATATTTGATCAAATACTAAAGTATTTAATCAAATAGGAGAAATTAGCAGTGAAGTTGAGGTTATTATGGCTGGTGATTTTATTTTTCCCAGTGAAATCTGCACAAAGTTTGTGCAATAACGTGTTGGTAAGTGCAGTTTCAAATGGTTCACATGCCAAGAATGTTGTAAATAACATACTGATTGGTGATGAATTTAATTCAAGTGATTACCATCTATTTTCACTCAATTTTAATAACAAAATAGGCAATATTTGCAAAAATATTCCAGGTTTTAAATAGGCAAAATTTGTCATTAATTAGAATATTGATTTATATTTCAGGTCCTGCCTATTGCCAAACCAAATGAATAATAATTTTAATATGAAACATTTTTTTTTCAGGAAAAGAACCAGTTCAAGAGAATTCCTTGTCCACTAGATCCAAAACAGTAAGAACCTTGATTGACAATTAGTAATAAAGCCACATGTGCTCACTTTTTGTTTTTTGTTTTGCAAGGATATTATATTTGGTTTTTCCTTTTGTTTGGCATTTGAAAAATCAGGATAAAATCAAATTGTTGGCAATGAGGGAATTTAATCTGAAACGAATAAATTGGGAGGCATTTCTGGAATGAAATTCTCTTTATCGCCCCTTTACTCGTTCTCCGGTGCTTACGCACTGGTACAGCTACAGTAATCCTTCAGAAATGTGCCAGGTCTATGAAAAACCCACACCACCTTATTGGGATCAAAGCCCAAAATCTGGCTCTATGTGAAGTGAGAGGGGAACCTGAGGCTCAGAAATCTACTCAAAACTAAAGAAATAATCCTGAAAATGTAGATGAAGCAATAAGAAGCACAGCTTGAAATGAATAAATTAAAATAATGAAAAAAGGCAAGCGATAATTTACTGCATGCAAACAACCTCGGCCCCAGCTCCCTCGGCTGCCACCAGCTAGCATCACATGTCGTCTAGGGTCGTGGCCCACCACCCACCTCACTCATGTTAAGAGGGAGAGACTGATCAAGAACATGGAGCTACTGAGGAGACAGCTAGAAAAGGGCTATTAATTACATTTACTGCATGATTTCTGGGCAGGTCCATTCAGTAACTATCCAATAAAAAAGAAGGAACATGGGATTACTGTATCATAACCAGAAAATACTTGAAATAGCTCACTTACAATAGAAAGCAGAGGCGCAGGGCTTGAGGTGAAGGAGTATCAGGTGCATGCCAGGTGCTCAAGCACCACACAAGTGCACTGTAGCCATGGAACATCCAGCAAATACAGGCCAATACTCTATTGGAGTGCCAAGAACTCGAAACCAGAATAAGAGCTGTAAACATTTTGGCAAAGAACACTGTCAAAGCAACGAACATAATGGGAGCAAAGTTAGAGCACTCTGGGTAAACTGAACTCTAGATGACCGGGGAGAGCCAGGCACTAGAGCAAGGGACACTATATCTCAAGTTAATAAACAACATCCGTCCTAGCAGTGTGAGTAGTGTACAAGTGACGACACATTGCAGCAACAGGACAATAGGAGTACTCTATTATAATTGTCTTAGCTCAGAACCCTTTATTTGTCAGCATGATAGTACTCTTTACTTTCCCTGAAATCAGTACTGTTGACTTGGTGGCTATATTTATCTGAAGTCTTTCTACAATCCTAATTAAATAATTGAGTTATTGTATACAGTAAACTTTGGTTTTATTGTGTCCAATACTTTACATTTCTGTATCCTGGTACACCACTCATAACCTTTGACCTATACATACAGTGCTACAATAAGTAGCCAAGCATAGAATATTTGGTAGTACAATCAGGAACTGCTGATCAGTTGGAGTGTGTGCACATCTTTAAATAAGTAAAATGTATTGCTATCCTTGAGTATTTTTATTTGAAAATATGGTTTACAGTAAATGCATTAAAATAATGACTGTTTAGCCATCATAGGTTATGTTCCACTTTATGCTTTTAGCTCCTGCTTTGAGCACCGGTTGGAGCACCACTTGGCAATTTGTAATGCTCGGGAGAAGACTGGCCTGTCGTATGTGAGTCGCAACATTAACCTCAGAGATGGTGTCCTAGAAGAACCTCCAAGAATTCCATTGTCTTCATTGACAGACCCAGAGCTGTTATCCCTCATTGCCAAAGTTGAGGCAGTTCACAAAGGTATGTGAAATACATAATTCTGATGTAAAGAGAGAGTGAGTGAGTGAGTTACAGTACAATTTGTAGATATTGGTGACCTATAGTGCAGTAGTTAATGCAATGGGTTAGCAGCCAGTTGTTCTTACACTCATTTTTAACAAAAAATTATGAATTTTTTCTACTATATAATTATTCTAATATTTTCTTGTACATATTGTTATTTTTCCTTCATACTGTTCCTAATTGATTCTATTTTTAGAAAATGTTGGAAATATCAAAGAATCAGTCTTGAGTCATGCAAGCTTGGAGAAGGAGATAACAACACCAGGTTATGGCCCCAGCGTAGTGCGACATTTGAGCCAGAACTCCTCGATTCTTGGCCATTTAGAGAGTGTTGGGCTACTTAATACATCCACCATACCAACCTGCTTTGTTGAGTTTGGTGCTGGCAGAGGTTGGTAGAAAATACAAATGTATTATTTGCCATTTAGCTAATATAAAAGATAAAGGTAGAAGTTTAATTCATAAGTAGGATTAAAGAGGTATATATAGTATTCAGTTAGCCATTAATCATGTATATGGCTAGACAGGTATACAGTATATAGTTCAGTCTGTGAATATCCTTTGAGTAGTACAAGTTTTGCCCTTGTGTTTGGGGTCCATAGTTTTGTGCACTTCATGATGTATTTTCCAGATTCATTGTGTGTGTGTGTGTGTCTGGATTTAGACTACACTGACTTAATTTCAGAGACCTTCCCCCTTTTCCTCTCTTTTGGCACCTCTCCTACCTGTGAATTTTTGTAGTGTTATCCTTCCTTTCTTGCTTCTCAGTGGATTGCCAGTTGAAGCCTTATGTGTGCATTACTATTGCCCTGTAAAGGGTGCTTTTGACAAAGCCTCACTCACTAATGTGTCATCAGCCCTCCTCCTCCTCTGGCTATGTCCAGCATTTAATCATCTCTGGCCAGCTCACACTCCACCAGAACCTTTCTGATCTTTGGATAGTGTTTTAGAGTTCTTTTCCTCTCTTTGTTTTGGGGTTTCCCGTGGTTGTGGATTCTTTTTCAATGTGGCTTTTCTCCTGGTTCTAGCGTCCAGCTATAAGGTTGGGAATCTTCTGACCTTGCCTGGAGGCATGGTTTATATTCCTATAAACTAGTAGCTCATTTTCTTTACCTACAGCCTTTTTTGATAATTTTCAGCTGAGAATAAGACCTCTGCCTCTGTTTAGTTATAAAACTTTGTTTATCTAACCAGATGCATTCTACTTTATTTTTTTTCAGTGCATAATTTTTTTCCCACTACTTGCACTCATGGGGTCGAGGCCTTGGTTGTCAACTCTGTGTCAAAAGTTCCTGGGCCTCTTTCTCTCCAGCTGTGTGTTGGCCTCTTGTTACTTTTGGGATGTCCCTCGGCCTCCTTGCACAAGGGCTTTTGGTATGCGGCTGATGTTCTTGTGCCACAGTCTCTTCTTCCACATGTAATCCCAGTCTCCTGCTGAGGAGTCCCTCCCACAAATCAGGCACTAAATGCCCTACATTTAGTGATGATGCAGAACTTCCTTTTCATGTGGACCCCTAGTAGTTTCCAAACCTTGCCCTAGCCCTTTCTTTCCCATTAGGTTGTGGTCCTTGGCATGGGCTGCTTTCCCATTAGGTTGTGGGCTTGGCATGGGCTGCTTTCCCATTAGGCTGTGGGCTTGGCATGGGCTGCTTTCCCATTAGGCTGTGGGCTTGGCATGCAGCTCATGATGTGGTGGGCTGGCTAGAGCCTCTGGTGACCTGGGCTTCCCTCTGGTGGCAGTCAGGTGCATCAGGATTAGGGTTGTCTTCAGCTATTATGAGGACCAATAGTTTCTGATCAAACAGAGTTCCAATAACCAGTTTGTTATGATAATGCTAAATATAATATGGCAACCATGGATGGCCATGAAACATTCCATTACATGGAAGGAATTAAGTGTCTAGCTAGTTCATTATATCCAATTCCTCACCAGCTAGTATTTTCCAGCCTTGATATGTTATTGCTTAGCACTTTCTTTTGATAATTATTTTACCAGAGTTGCTTCACTTGGCATCTCTGCATCACTCTTACACGGTCATCTCAGACTTGACTGACATTCGTACCCTCACTTCCTTGGATACGACACTCTCATGACCATGGTGTTTTATTCATTCTGTTATCTGTTTTTTCAGGTTCATACCTTTACATGTTACCATGTGAAGGAAGCTTGATAATTAGCTACCAGGAGGTTTCTGTAATTAAGTAAGGCATTGGGACTATAAATATATAATACTGTACTGTGTGTGACTGTCTTGCTACGTGTCATATTTAGTAGATACAAATTCTCATATTTTATTTATCTTTCATGTACTATTTGATGCTAAATTTTCTCAAAAGGCCCAAGCTTCTAATTTGGTTGTATTCTGGTTATATATATTACCATTAGAAATTCATATACTGTATCATAAAATGTTTACTCAGGAAAGTTCCTCAGATTATAATAATAATAATAATGTGGAGATACTTTTGCATATGGAACTTTCTCCCTGGATTTGGACTAGTTCTATTATTTATTTTCTGAGAGTATAGTATCCTCTAACCATATATAATTATGTACTGGGAAGTTTTTTATCATATTTCTCTACCTCTCACTGCTTGACCTTGAAGCATGTACTACAGTACATGGTCACAACAGCCTCATTTCATTCAGGGGTATTATATACAGTGTGTCTCACTGCTTGTATAGAATGAATATTTTCAGTATACTTTTGAATTTAATTCTCACTGCATTTAAGAATCATATTTCCCATTGTATTCAGGTTTGTCAAGACATTTTGAAGTTGTAGTACAGAAATCTTGATGGTGTAACTAAAAGACTAAATATGGAAATCTTTTCTGAATGTAAACTTATGTTCACAAGCAGGTACCTTAATTTAGAGTAATTAAACAGGCCAGCTGACAAATTGGTTAACGGAGGCAGTATCTGACACTTCAAAAGCTCTCTTCGTGCTAGTGGACAAAGGAGCCCAGAGATACAAGTTTGATGCAAAGCTCAGGTACAAGTAAGTATAATTTCTTGGCAACGTTTGGTATATTGATTTTAATTTAGTCAAAGATCTTCTTGAGGTTATCTTGAGATGATTTCGGGGCTTTAGTGTCCTCGCAGCCTGGTCCTCGACCAGGCCTTCACCCCCAGGAAGCAGTCCGTGACAGCTGACTAACACCCAGGTACCTATTTTACTGCTAGGTAACAGGGGCATAGGTTGAAAGAAACTCTGTCCATTGTTTCTCGCCGGCGCCCGGGATCACAGGATCACAAGTCCAGCTTGCTGTCCGCTCGGCCGACCGGCTCCCCATGGAGATCATGAAAGCCTTTGCAGACACTAGGGTGCACTTTGGGCAGGAATATGTGTCCAGATGCTTTTTGCCTTGTCAGTCTATATACACATTTTTGTAATATCTTGCTGTTCTATTTCTTTGCCAAATTTGTTTTTGAAGCTATTGCTGGCAGGGACTTCCACAATTACTTTCATTGCATTCCATTCTTCCATTCTTGACCATTCTCACCGAGTATTAGTAAGTAATTATCACAAGATGGCACCAAGCCTGGAAGGCTATTTAGCACCACCTAGGTCACAGGATACAGTATTAACAAAATTCCTAGATATCATTCAGGATGCCAATACAATGCATGAAATAAAGGACACAAAATAACAATGTCAAGGGTATCAGATTTGTCAAGCATTTTATTAAGAGATGTAAGACCTGAAAAAACAATGAGAATGCAGAATTTCCAATAAGACAGAGAACTAAAATAGACACAAATAAATGGGAGCATAAAGATGGAAGGAGAGCATAGAGGGGCAAATAACCGAGTCAGATCATGCTTGCTAGGAAGATTAGAGCATTTACCTGTGTACTGGGAAAGGCAAGATTTTATGGCAACCAAGCCAGGATCAATATTAGGTATGTTGTAAATAGGACAGGAAAGATTATTTTTGAAGAAGACCAAGCTATAAGATGCTTAGAGTCCCTAATATGACAGAAGGCAGCATTGTTTGTGTCAGCATGTTTTAACACATTATTAGTGCTATTTAAATCTGCCATTAACCTTAAAAGTGAAGCCAGTTTCACCAAAGTACTGAAGAGGCCAAAAGGAACTGGAGTGTGGTGGTGTTAGTTCTTTTATGATGTGTATTATGTAATGCTATGATGAATAGATGGGTGTAAAATTTGAATATCTTAATATTTTTTCTATGAATATAATAGGGCTTCCATTTTGTTCTCCTGACTGATACCTCCTCCCTTTCTTCCCACTCCCATGAAAGTGATAAAAGGAATAATGATGAGCTTTAACCAGTCACATTTTAATATATTTTTGGGGGGAAGCCCCTTCGGCTCCCCGGAGCTATCCAGGCTGATATGTATATTATTAGACTTTGGCAGCAGTTAGCGTAAATGGAGTTCTAGGCCTACTGGGGACCAGAGCCAGAACCTGGCCTCCCCAGAGAGGCACGAAGAGCAATGGCCCATAGAAGTGCACATGTGATTTGGAGCATTCTGTGTCTGCCATCGACTGGGCCAAGCACCCAGAAAGGTAAGCGCCTCAAAACAAACCCCCTAATCTGGTTAAAACTACTACTGAAAACTAACGAGTGGACAGAACTCCCCAATTGAAAACGAACAAACAAGCATGACGTTACACGTGCCGTACCACTTGTCTGCACAGCTCCCCCCTCCCTGGGAGGGAGAAAGGGGGAGCCCCAGATCCCTCGCGCCGGCTATCCACACCCCCAGTTCTCAGCTGATGTGTTTGAGGCTCAGTTGTGTGGCTCCAGCTCCTGAGTCTCTCTGTGTTGTACTGTGCCTTGTGTCCAGTACTACTTTTTCGGTGGCATGCGAGCTGGGTATAACATTCATAGGTACTTAGGTTGCTTGTGCTTAGGGTTCCCTTCCTTAAGTGCCCTGTAAGTACCACCCTTGGGGCTTGGGGTTATCTTCCACAAGTCACCTTGGGGTCTACCTCTGTTGGTGATTGACCACACTGGGAGTGTTAAGGGGTTTCTGTTCTTTAGGTCATGGTGATAGGTTTGTTCGTTTGCAGCCGTCTCCTTTTTTGGCGAAGAATGAGACCGCTGTGTTCCAGAGAGTTCTTGAGTTGTTGATGTTTGGTTGGTCAGGCCAGAGGGTGCATCATGTGTTGTGTCCGGTTGCAGCTCTCCGCTGTTATTTGCACTCCACGGCCTCTGTGACCGGGGACGCGCTTTGGGTTGATCCGGTTTCCTTTCTTCACTGTTCCAGGGTTCGGGTCCCTCAGGTCATCCGCAGGGTTCTTCGATCTAGCCAGCCTGCTATCTATCCCGGGGCCCATGATGTTCGTAAGTTTGCTACGCTTGCTGCCGTCTTTGGTAACATGTCTTGGGTTGACATGCAGGCACAGGGTTTTTGGCGATCGAACAGGGTCGACGGTTGCAGCCTGTTGTCTCGACTTCGAGTTTAGGAGCGAGTGAAATAGAAATATTTCATAATATATTTCAGTGAGCATCAGAAATATTGCTGGAACAACTGTGGACATTTTCAAGAGAAAACTAGATTGTTTTCTTCGAGGAGTGCCAGACCAATCGGGCTGTGATAGGTATGTGAGCCTGCGGGCCACTCCTGGCAACAGCCTGGTGGACCAAACTCTCACAAGTCAAGTCTGGCCTCGGGCCGGGCTTGGGGGAGTAGAAGAACTCCCAGAACCCCATCAAGCACGAGTGCCGACTGCCTCCCGGGTAAGTCTCTTTTTTTTCGTCTTTTGTGATGTAGCTCCGGGGAGCCGAAGGGGCTCCCCCAAAAAAACCAGCGTTGAATGTAATGAAATGCCACTTTCTGGGTGAGACCCGGAGGCTCCCTGGCTCTGAGTGGACAGCGATTCGGATTTGTAGTCCTGAGGTTCGGGGTTCGATCCCCAGTGGAGGCGGAAACAAATGGGCAGAGTTTCTTTCTCCTTGATGCCCTTGTTCACCTAGCAGTAAATAGGTACCTGGGAGTTAGACAGCTGTTACGGGCTGCTTTCTGGGGGTGTGTGTAACAAAAAGGAGGCCTGGTCAAGGACCGGGCCGCGGGGATGCTAAGCCCTGAAATCATCTCAAGATAACCAAGAACCCTCCCTCCCCCTGGTAGGCATTTTTTTGTGTGTTTTGACATTCAGCCTCGAACTGTGCAGACAAGCGCCGTGGCACGTGTGACATCATGCTTGATTCCTCATTTTCAATTGGGGAGTTCTGTCCACTCGTTAGTTTTGAGTAGAAGTTTTAACCAGAATAGGGGTTTATTGTGAAGTGCTTACCTTTCTGGGTTCCTGGCCCGGTCGATGGCAGACATAGAATGCTCCAAATCACATGTGCACTTCTATAGGCCATTGCTCCTCGTGTCTCTCTGCAGGGGCCAGTTTCTGACTCGTGGTCCCCGGTAGGCCTGGAAATCCATTCACACTGATGCCAAAGTCTAATAATGTACATATCAGCCTGGATAGCTCCGGGGAGCCTCCAGGACTCACCCAGAAATTGGCGTTTCATTACATTCAATGCTGGTTTTTTGTACAGCTATATCTTAAGGGATCTTTATTTACAGTTCCGAGCTCTCGATACAACGATTACGTGTAGACATTCAACACCTCAACCTGGAAGGTGTAGCAAGTCTTGACACTTATGATCGTATTGTGGGTCTTGGAAAGCATCTGTGTGGAGGTGCTACTGGTAAGAAGCAGCTTGAAGTTTATATCTTGGTCTTTCTCAAACATAAACTGCAGTTCAGGTGGCAGGTACAAATTTTTCTTTGAGTAGAATAGCTTCTGTGAACTACTGTACAGTATTTGCATTAACATTGGAAAACTTATTTACTTTTTTTATGTATAAAAATTATGGTTTTCATAAAAGTTCTTTATCCTTTCTATTTTTCTGTATGAAATCTTCAGAACACTTTAGTATCAGCTTGAAACTTTTGGGTGCTTAAGTGTGATGGTGTATGATAGTATAAAGTGTGATGCTTGCTTACTCTCTCAGTGGCTTGCTTCTTCAATGGACTGTTCACTCATTCCCGCACACACTGGATTTGCTGTCTTAATTTAGTGACAGTTACCTACAGTTCTAGTCAGTCACATTCCAATTAGTGAGATTATACTGTACTATGAGTTGTACTCTTAAAGTATGTGTGTGCAGTACTGTTCAAATTTATGACTAGTATAGAGTATACAGTATAGTAATGTAATAAAGGCACATATATTACCAAGGACTCTATGGCACAGTGATTAGAGCATTCAGGTCACAGTCAAAAGGTCCTGGGTTAATTCTCACAGTAGGACAAAAGTGTTTGCCCGGTGTTTCCTTTCATCTGATGCCTCTCTTCACCTAACAGTAAATAGATACCAGTAAAAAGAAAAAAGAAATAGGCAATTGTTATGGGCTGCATTCTGGAGGAGGTCAATAGTTGGCCTATGGAGTCTTCAAGAAGCCTAACAGGCTTCTTGTTTAGTCAACTCTGAGGTGTGATGTCTCGTCTACACATTATCTATAATCTACAATGGCTCTGGTCCTGACTGGTGCAGATTAGGGAGCCTCATCTGTACCACAACTCATTTTACATGAAGAAATGAAGTAACCCTCAGATGTTGGTATGAAACTGTGCAATAGGTATTGCTGTTACCTTGAGGTGCTTCCGGGGCTTAGCGTCCCCGCGGCCCAGACGTCGACCAGGCCTCCTCAATTAATTGGCCTGAATTAACAGGCCTCCTGTTCAATTAATTTCTAGAATTGTAACTTAATTTGCTATCTTTTGAATGGTTTTGTACTGAAGCTATTTAATTTGTCATGGAACAGCTTATAAGAATTTATAATACTGTGACTTGGAATGTGCATGTCTGAGAGCCATGCCATATAGTATGCACATTTTCAGCATTGTAATCCAAATATGTCATGCTGGTGTTACAATATACAAGAGCTACTATACCTGGCTGGTCAGCAGCATTAAGATGGTGATCTCTTGGACTTGACTAAAACTTTGGCCAATGCCATATTTTGGTTATACAAGTTTTACATTTTGAGAATTGACTGTGGTTGCATTTTATAGATAAAATTTTATATTTTATTTCAATTCATACCATAGATATTTTCCAAAAGTTTAAGAAATATATTTCTTGTTCAACTTAAAACCCAAAATATTTGTATAAATGATCAGGGACAAACTTCCTTTCTCTACAAGCAATTCCATATTGTTATGCTCACTTTCCTTAACTTATTCTATAAAATGATCATGTAACACATGAGATTCTTTTTCTGTATTTTTCTTTAATTTTGAAAGTATATGTATTTATACATGCCATATTCACAAACGATGATTTTTTCTTTTTACTTCAGACTTGGCCCTCCATTGCTTGTCAAGATATTCCCGACCAGTGGTGGCTGGTCTGGTACTGGCTCTGTGCTGCCACCATCGCTGTACCTGGCTTACCTACTCAGGTTTTACTTTTCTTTCGGTAAGAACTTGTATTTCAGCAAAATTTGCTGCCATAAACAACCTGGTATTCACACACATCATACACACCTGGTATATATCTCTGGAAATTACCAGAAATGAGGTTAGGAGGTATCTGCTTGATCTAGAAGTGACTAAGGCTGTTGGACCTGATGGAATCTCACCATTGATGCTAAAAGAGGGGGGCAGAGGCACTTTATGTGCCACTATCTATGGTCTATAACAAGTTACTGGAAACAGGAGACCTACCAGAGAGTTGGAAGACAGCTAACTTAGACACAGTCTACAAAAAGGGGGGGGGATAGGCAGGAGGTTTTAAACTACAGGCCAATGTCCTTAACCTCTATACCATGCAAGGTGATGTAGAAAATCGTGAGGAAAAGCTTGGTAGCACATCTGGAGAAAAGGGACTTTGTAACACATCACCAACATGGGTTCAGGGAAGGCAAGTCGTGTCTCACAGATTTAATAGAATTCTATGACCAAGCAACAAGCATTAACCGTTAAAGGGCACGATACATATATAGCTGGGGTGAGTAACTATTGCAGGATGGCGCACCACAGCTATGTATGGTTGGGAGTACTACGTAAGATTTCAAAGTCCCGTGGCTACACGGTTCACATCAGGTTCCTCAGAGCTCTTGTAAACAGATACCATTTAAAAAAAAAAACATGGGCAACATTCGTGGGTGTGAGAGCCTCAGTACTGAATAAGCAACCAAGACAGTTGTATGCTGCATGAGCTAACAGCACTGCTGTTCAGCTTGTGACCACAACGCTGCCAAAAATGTCAAACTATATATGTAACTGGTATTATTATTTAGCCATGATAGTGTTACAAAAATGCCTGACTGTAATAAAGACTGTGTACAATATTTAGATATCAGTGAACACAATGCTGTTCAAGATGTTCACAGCGCTAGTCACAGTACTGCCATTGTTTGTCCATCTAAGAATCTTCAAACGACTTCTCATGTTCCTTTACAAAATAAACTTATGGAAAATTATTCATTTACAGGATTTAGTGACTAGAATTCTGATAATAGCAGCATTGTGGTGAGAATTAGTGATGTGTGTAGTATAATGGAAGGAGCAATCTTGGTGAGGAGGGAGGGAGAGGGGGGGCATTGTCTGCTGACTGTGTGGCCACCTGATATTGTCTGGACTCACCATACAAGCTTAGTGGTTCGCTATGTTGGGCACAAATGTAGTTCCTTATATATAACGTGTGTATAGTGTAATAACAGCAAAAGGAGTATGTTGGGAGGAGCCATTTTGGTGAGGGAGGGAATGAGGCTGTCGTCTGCTGGCTGCTGTGTGACTCGTCATGTAGTTTTTTGTGGCCACTATGTTGTTTGGACACCATACCAGCTTAGTTGTACAGTTATGGTGAACAAAACATGTAAATACTTATATATAACAAGTGTATATAGTGTAATAAAACCACAAACAGTATTGTGGAAGGAGGAATGTTGGTGAGTAAGGTGTTAAAGTAGGGAGGGAGGGCTAGCTGGGTGTGGCAGCCCACTCTTGATGTTTGAACTCACCATACCAACTTAGTGGTTTGCTATGGTGAACAAAACATGCAGATACTTATATATAACATGTGTATGGAGTGTAATAACAGAAAAACTATTTGTTTATTGTTTTATGAACGCAATAATTGAATCACTAGTATGCACACTATACTTTTGAGTATAGCAGTGGTTTACACATTTTATTATATAAATATATCACACTACACACTATTGAATAATATTATTGCAAAAAAAAAAAAGAGAAAAAATTAACCAGACATTGAAATAATTAGGTAATAATATCTTTGTGGCAACTCCCGCCTGACAGTGCGGGTGGAGGAGACCAGTGCGAAACGCTTAGTGTGTCAGCGCCTCAATTTTGCTAGATTTCCCCGCCCTATTGTGGCCAAAATATGTCACTTACGATTTTTTTATTATTTTTCCTGTGATCAGGGAATACAAATGAATATTTTTATAAGACAAAAAAAAATAGTTTTTTAATTTCTTGCGCTTGATTTTTTTTTATTTCTTGTATTTCCTGCATATATTTCTTGCCTGGGCTATAATTGTTGCAGGCTATAATTGCAAGCACCTCCTAGGGGGTTAAGTATGAAAGAGAAGGGCAGACTGCATTTTCTTAGACTGTCAGAACGCTTTTTTGACACAGTAATTGACAGGGTAGTTAAAGATAAACTGTTTAACATGGGTGGTACATGAACAAGGGGACACAGGTGGAAACTGAGTACCCAAATGAAACACAGGGATGTTAGAAAGAACTTTTTCAGTGTCAGAGTAGTTAAAAGATGGAATGCATTAGGCAGTGATGTGATGGAGGCAGACTCCATACACAGTTTCAAATGTAGATATGATAGAGCCCAGTAGGCTCAAGAATCTGTATTCCAGTTGATTGACAGTTGAAAGGCTGGACCAAAGAGTCAGACCTCAACCCCCGCAAGCACAACTAGGTGAATACACATTGGGACCTAATGATGGACTTGCCCTAAAATTTTAGCACAATAAAATAGCTGAATATTTTAGTTACAGTTACAGTGCTCACTTGCATCAAATTTAATTTGTTGAAAAAAATTCAAAGGAAATTCTGGATTTAAGCAGTTATACTGTTAGTGTCGACCACAGCATACATGGATTCAATCTGATGAATGCCTCTGGAATTCCATGTGCTAATTCCCTGAATTAGCTTCAGGGAGCTGATGGGACTCCCCCACAGAAAACCATCACTGAATGTAATGAAATGCCATTTTCTAGGTGAGTCCCAGAGGCTCCCTGACACCTTCCCTCCCTCTGGTTGGCAGTTTTTACCGTTCAAGAACTGGAGTAGTGGGCTGCCGGCTCCTCTACCCCCAGAGAGGGGGGGGGAGTTACGCTAACGAGCTGGAGTGCTAGTTGCATGGAGAGATGCTTGAGTTTCTTTCTAGGAGTTATTTTTAACTTTTTGGATGTAGCTTGCACAGGTTAACCAGACAGTGGTCTGTTTTGATTTGCCTACCTTTCTGGGTCCTTTCCCGGTCGATGGCAATTATGACATACTTTAAGTGTAAACTGTTCATAGACCATTGCTCCCTGCGCCTCTCCAAGGGGGCCAGTTCTGGCTCGTGGTCCCCAGTAGGCATAAGGACTCCTGTAACTGAGGATCCCAAACTAATATAGCACATATCAGTTTGGATAGTTTCAGGAAGCCTCTGGGGCTCACCCAGAAAATGGCGTTTCATTACATTCAACGTTGGTTTTTTGTTCAGCATTGTTTGATTTTTATCATACTTTCAGGAATCAGGATTCAGCTCCAATGAGTTCTACACATTAACAGCCCTCACAAGCTGGGCAACTTGCAACTCAAAGGACATTCCAAGCAAGGAAAATGTAGGTGACATAGAGAATTTACAAGAAAATGACAAAGACTATGAACACAGTGAGAGAGACAAAAGGGTTTCTGATGTATCAACCCTTATGCCACAAGAAGATAGTAAAAATACACCTTCAGAAGATAATCAGCTAATAGAAAAGTATGTTATCATCTCAAAATTTTCTGGTGTATACTTTGCTTAATGAGTAGGGATTTGCTTTTATATATATATATATATATATATATATATATATATATATATATATATATATATATGTCGTACCTAGTAGCCAGAACTCACTTTTTGGCCTTCTATTCAAGGCCCGATTTGCCTAATAAGCCAAGTTTTCCTGAATTAATATATTTTCTCTAATTTTTTTCTTATGAAATGATAAATCAACCCATTTTATTATGTATGAGGTCAATTTTTTTTTATTGGAGTTAAAATTAACGTAGATATATGACCGAACCTAACCAACCCTACCTAACCTAACCTAACCTAACCTATCTTTATAGGTTAGGTTTGGTAAGGTAGCCGAAAAAGTTAGGTTAGGTTAGGTTAGGTAGGTTAGGTAGTCGAAAAACAATTAATTCATGAAAACTTGGCTAATTAGGCAAATCGGGCCTTGCATACTAGGCTGAGAAGTGCGTTCTGGCTACTAGGTACGACATATATATATATATATATATATATATATATATATATATATATATATATATATATATATATATATATATATATATATATATATATCAATATATATATCAATATATAGTACATAAATATATATATGCAACTGATATATATATATCAGTTGCATATAGTCCTGGGGACCATTCAGGCTTGTTCGCATATATATACATATACATACATACATACATACATATATATATATATACATACATACACATATATACATATACACATACATACATACATACACATATATACATATACACACACACACAGTACTGTATAGTCAAATTAGGGGTGGGGGGAAATGTGACCCACAGGAAATTACTGCAAATGGGAATTTGCATTTTATCACAAATATTAACAAATCCAGATGTATCTATGAATTTTAAATGGGTGGTCATATAGTAAAATTGTACCTTTTTTAACATAGGTACAGGTACACAAGTTAGGAACAGGGTAATCTTTACTATTGTTTATGTTATAATTTTGGAGGTTATACTGTATCAGAGTATGTTTTCCTATAGTCTTTCATTATACAGTATAACCGAAGGTCGCTTCCCATATTGATTTTTATTGTGTTTCTTGCCATCACTTATTTATAATTGTCAAATTCATTCCTGAAACAATGTGTTGATACATGAATGTCTCCAAGATAAGGTTTATAAATCTGTCAGTTCAAAAGTCCTAAGCTCTTGCTTCATAGGCCTCCTAGTCTGTTGATTTCAAATTGGAGTCGGCAAGTACTAACAGTCGTGATTTACCTTCATCTGCTCTTACTATAATCTCTCATGATCACAAGGCCCTCTCTTTGTCATCCAACTCCTGTTGTGTTGTGTTCATGTGTTGCTTGCTGGTGGACTGTAGGCATTTATGATTATCAGTTTATCATCCTGATTCCATATTTCCAGTGCCATTACATCAACTTCTCGTGAGTTGCCGGTTATTACTTCTCTTACCTTTGGTGTTCTCTCACCAGGACAGCAATGCCTCCACCTTTACTCATTTTTCTGTCACATCGCCAAATTTTGTGTGTGTGTACTCACCTAATTGTGCTTGGGGGGGGGTTGAGCTTTGGCTCTTTGGTCCTGCCTCTCAACTGTCAATCAACTGGTGTACAGATTCCTATTATCTTGGCATCATCAGCAAACATGTTCATATAATTCTGTATTCCATCTGGTAGATCATTTATGTAGACAATGAACATCACTGTGCAAGAACTGAACCCTGTGGTACTCCACTTGTGACATTTCTCCAGTCCAATACATTGCCTCTGATTACTGTCCTCATTTTTCTATCAGTCAGAAAATTTTTCACTCATGTTAGAAGCTTACCTGTCACCCCTCCAATATTTTCCAGTTTCCAGAACAACCTCTTATGTGGAACTCTGTCGAAAGCCATTTTTTAGGTCCAGATAGATGCAGTCAACCCAACCATCTCTTTCCTGTAAAATCTCTGTGGCTCGATCATAGAAACTGAGTAAATTCAATACACAGGATCTTCCAGATCGAAAGCCGTACTGTTTGTCTGATATTACAGTGTATATAATTTCTCTCCAGGTGTTCTACCCATTTAGTTTTTATTATTTTTTCCAATATTTTGACTATTACATTTGTCAATGATACAGGTCTATAATTGAGGGGGTCTTCCCTGCTGCCACTTTTGTAAATTAGAACTGTTAGCCTGTTTCCACACATCTGCTATGACTCCTGTACACAGGGATGTCTGAAAAATCAGCTGAAGTGGAATGTTGAGCTCAGGTGCACATTCTCTCAGAAACCATGGTGAAACTCCATCTGGGCCAACTGCTTTGTTCTTATTTAGCTCCAAGAGCATTTGTTTCACTTCGTCCTTAGACACCTCTATGTGCTCTATGCTGTTCTCTGTAATTCTTATTGTATCTGGTTCTCTGAAGATCTCATTTTGTACAAACATACTTTGGAACTTTTCGTTTAATGTTTCACACATTTCCTTTTCATTTTGGGCTGGACGGTAGAGCGACGGTCTTGCTTCCTTCAGGTCGGCGTTCAATCCCTGACCGTCCAAGTGATTGGACACCATTCCTTCCCTCCCCGTCCCATCCCAAATCCTTATCCTGATCTCTTCCCAGTGCTATATAGTCATCATGGCTTGGCGCTTTCCCGACAATTCCCTTCCCTTCCCTTTTCATTTTCCATGTATCTGACGCCCATTTTCAACCTCTGAATATTATCCTTTACCTGCAGCTTGCTTTTAATGAATTTATAGAAAAGGCCTGGATCTGATTTAATTTGTCTGCTATACTGTTCTCAAAGTTCCTCTCTGCCTCTCTCTCTCTCCTTACTGAAGTGTAGTTGTTTCTTGCATCTTTGTATCACTGGTATGTTTGGGGGTTTTGCCTCTTCCTATAATGATTCCATGCTTGTGTCTTTTGATCTCTGGCCCTCTCGCAATTTCTGTTGAACTAACCCTGTTTCCTAGGTCTGCATCTCTGTTTTGGTATAAATGTTTGTGCGCCTTCATCGTATATTTTGCAAAATTTGGCATACATCTCATTTACTTCCGTGCCTAGCAACAAATCTGTCCAATTATACCCATGAAAAAAATTTCTAAGTTCCCCATAGCGTCCTCTCTTGAAATCGAGTTTAACAGCTGTTTCAATGTCCCCATTCTCTACTAGATTATATTGCATAGCGTATTTAATGTCCAAGAGGATGTGATCACTCTTTCCCAAGGGAGGAAGGTACTGGATGTCAAATACCTCTTCTTCTTTCCTGGTGAATACCAGATCCAGTACTGACGGTACATCCCCTTCCCTCATTCTTGTGGCCTGCTTGACGTGTTGATACATGATTGTCTCCAAGATGAGGCTTACAAATCTGCCTGTCCAAATGTCCTGTTCTTGCCTCATAAGCCTCCCAGTCTATTGCCTTAAAGTTGAAGTCTCCCAGTACCAGCAATCAGGATTTATCTTTGTCAGCTCTTACCATAATCTCTTTTATGACCATTATGAGGGCCTCTCGTTTGTCATCCAGTTCTTCCTTTGTCAATGTGTTGCTTGCTGGTGGGCTGTAGGTATTTACAATTATCAGCTTATCATCTTGATTCCAGACATGCAATGCCATTTTGTCAATATCTCGAGGGTTTTCAATTATTAACACACTTACCTTCAGGTATTCTTTCACCAGCACAGCCACTCCTCCCCCCTTCCTAGTTTTCCTGCCACATCTCCAAACTGAGTAGCCCGTTGGGAATACGACCTCATTAAAATATTTTCTTCAAGTTTCGTCTCTGTTAACACTTTCGCGCTCCGTAGAAACTCGCGGTTGACTGGGGGATCGTGGCCCCTCCGTGCGGGTAAGCGCGCGGTGACACCCAAATGTGTATACTCATTCCAGTTTTCTCACCTTAATTCTCGCGCTACGTCGCTCGTTTTGGTATCATTGTGTTCGCAATTAAATTCTCTACAGCTGTGTATAAATATAATGTCCAAAAGCCTAGCGTGACTCCCAACAGCAAAGCGTAAAGTCGGCAAAAACGCACAAAATCAGTAACATGTGCATTCTCCTTCCATTTTTTTACCTTAATTCTCGTGCTACGTCGCTCGTTTTGGTATCATTGTGTTCGCAATTAAATTCCCTACAGATGTGTAAGAATAAAATGTACAAAAGGCTGGAGTGCCTCCCCGCAGAAAAGCCTAAAGTTACCCGTGAACGAGCACCATTTTGTACATTGCAACCTAATGTTCAACTCGTTCAATTTGATAACATCAAATTTCGTGCTAGGTCGCTCATTTTGGTATCAAATTGTTCGCAATAAAAAGGCGAGTATTTTAAAACTAGTCCCAGAATAATAGAACAATAACTGGATTTTTAACAAATATTTTAATTCTGGACGCTCATCATCACAAATTTATTTATATCTTTCCAGTGTTCTGACATAAATATTTGTGTTACATCTTTCATTTTGGTATCAAATTGTTCGCAATAAAACGGCGCGCATTTTAAAACTAGTCCCAAGATAATAGGACAATAAATAGAATTTTAACAATTATTTTAATATTCGGACCAAAGGCCTATTTATAATATTTCAAGTGTTTGGACATCAAGTTTCATGTTATATCTTTGATTTTGGTATCAAATAGTGTGCAATCTAAAGGCGCTTATTTTAAAACCACTACAAGATTGATCTGATAAAATTTAAATTTTTAAAAAATATTTTAATGAGTGACTCAGTATTGCGTCGTTGGAACACATTCAGTAGAAAAATAAATGACGAGATAATCAGTCTGTGGAACCTCAAAGTGTTAATGCGACAATATTTGGGACTTTGAGCTGAATTATATCCTTCAACTCCAATATTTTCGATCTCACTCCATCTATGTTGGTATATACTATTTTCAGGAACATGTTCCTCTTCCACACCCACACTCTGTGTGTGTGTGTGTGTTTTTTGAGGTCAGATGTTTGGAGCATCTGACCTCCAACCTCAAGTCAGACTGGTTGGTCCAGACAACCACCAGCCTGACCTGAGGCTGGTGGTTGTTGGGACCATCCCAAACAAACACCAGCTTCACCAAGCCCATATTACAACTAAAAATCTGAGTAACCTCATTATTTCTTTTCAGCCGATACACACGGTTAAATTTGTCAGCCCAGTATCGAGAAGAAGTTGGGAGAAAGGCAAAGCAGTTATTAGATTACGGTCGAGTTAAGTATTTATGTGATCAAGGGTTCCAGTGTCATCTTGTACAGTATGTGTCTAAAGAGAAGACATTAGAAAATATTGCACTTGTGGCCAACTTTGTTGGTAGTTAACACAAATTTGTTGATAAAACAAAGTTCAGTGGTGCACAGTATATTGTTAATTTTACTAAATATTCTTAGAGAATAAAATGAATAAAACTGTTCTTAAGCACAGTTTATAGTGTTTATAAAGAAATACAATATGTCCAAAATAATTGGATTCACAAAAACTATTTATAAAGTTGTTCAGTTTTTTAGGCTGTAGCAAACTTTGGCATTGTTTGGTTAGTAGCCAGTTTCCTTCAACTTTAGTTACTTTTTCAAACTTGTATTATAAGTGGCCATAAACCTGGGCCACACCTTACTGAACAATAGTACAATTCAGAACAACATAAGTACAGTATTGAACCATAAGCATATCATACAATATACTGTACAGTTGACGCACAACTTCACAGGTTTCTCTAGAGCTGTACTCGCCTAGTTTGTGCTTGCGGGGGTTGAGCTCTGGCTCTTTGGTCCCGCCTCTCAACTGTCATTCAACTGGTGTACAGATTCCCGAGCCTATTGGGCTCTATCATATCTACACTTGAAACTGTATGAGTCAGCCTCCACCACATCACTGCCTAATGCATTCCATATGTTAACAACTATGACACTGAAAAAGTTCTTTCTAACGTCCCTGTGGCTCATTTGCGTACTCAGTTACCCCCCCCCCCCCGGTGTCCCCTCTTGTTCGCATACCACCCGTGTTAAACAGTTAATCCTTATCTGTCCTGTCAATTCCTCTGAGAATTTTATAGATAGTGATCATGTCCCCTTACTCTTATGTCTTCCAGTGTCATGACGTGCATTTCATGCAGCCCTTCCTCGTAACTCATACCTTTTCGTTCTGGGACTAGCCTAGTGGCATATCTCGGAACTTTTTCCAGCTTTGTCTCATGCTTGACAAGGTACAGGCTCCATGCCAAGCCATGATTACAGCAAGAGCTGTAAACATTGAACTGTTTACCTATTACTGAGCTACTGTTTAGAAAGAATTTTCCACAGCCAAAACATAGCTTGTGTGAAGCTACTCGGCAGTTACGTTGGTTTCTGGAGTAAGACAGTACATTAAATAATATGCATTTAAAAAAAAAAAAATCATTGACTATACTTAAGGCAAACGTCGTAAGTGGAGTGCCTGAGGGCAATGCCCCGATTCCTTTATAGTTCTTCATACATATTAAGTGGTTTAAGGTTAAATTAATGTTAATAGCATATTAATAAATTTGCTCATGATTCACATACATTATTTAGAAGGTTGTCTTCATTACCATTTTTTGTACTAAGTTTCTGTTTGTATGGGTGTCTGAAAAGTTGTAGTGGAATACTAAACTCAGGTGAGCATTCCTTAATTCAAAAGAAAAAAAGTTATGTTAAGGAGGGTTAAAGGGTGCATAAAGCAGCACCAAAAGAGGTACATTACAATACTGTATAGAAATCATTCACTTTGAGTATATAGAGCAGACGTCTTGAGAATTATCTAAAGTTCTTTTTTTCACACAAATTTTACTATAACCACTTGATTTTGTATTTCCAAATAACATTTATAAGTGTTATGGAAGTATCTTTATTGACACAAAAATAAATAAATAAATTTTAACTTGCCTGTCTTTATCACCCTCATATTAGAATACTGTACTGTATTTCACAATACTTTACAAGACAGAAGTGTAGTGTCATGCCCATTTTAATACTATACATGTATCTAATCGAAGTTTACTGTAAACGTGCATGGCACACTTGGTCTTGACTGCCACCTGCTGAGGCTTTGTTGCTTGAGGGTCTTTGGCTTTCAGACTTTATCAAGTAAGTATCCATTTTGATCACTTTCATTCTTTCCTCTTTTATGATCACTTCTTTGCTCCAAAACTTTATTTTCACTATTAGAAGCACATTTAATCAAATCATCAATGCTTACAGAATTGTACTTTTCTGTTTGTGCTTCGGCTTCTTCCTTGTCCTCACCTGATGCCACCAACACTGGACAATCATATCACAATCTGGAGCAATAACACCTTTAGGTCAATAGCTAATTTTTAATAAAGAAGTGACGTTCATATTAAGTCACAAATTTTAGTAAAAATCCTTCAGACAGGAATAATCACCTTGTAAAAAATGTTGCAATGGTATGATGTAATTAAAGATGCCTATCTAATATTTACTAATTAAATCTCGACAAACAATAATGTTATGGCCAATAAACTTAAATCACTGATTTAAACACCTTTAATTAAATCTAATACATTTTTAAATCTCAGAATAATACTGGCATTATTTATAAATATCACCTCAATTAATGAAGACAAAATTAACATAATACAGTGTACAGAACTTGATCAATTATAAATGGCATGTTAAAATATTAATTTAAAGTATTTATTACCACTTACATAAACTCCAGGGCAGACACAGCTGCTTATATTTAAATAATTATTTCTTATAACTATACATACACAAGTTCAACTTCTACGTCTTGTCGAACTTGAGACCCTTTCTTATTAAATCAGACTTTGCTTCTTTAATCTGATTTTGTAACTCTTGAGCTGCTTCTTGACAGTCATTGAAGGTGTATACACGGTAAGCAATAATAGCAACTGAAACCAATCCAAATAATGCCACTAACAGGACTGGAAGTAACAAAATTTCCCAGTAGTACTGCTTGGTAAACTCATTCTGTATCTGCAAGAGACAAATGTTTCACTTAAAAATTTGTTTAACTACCACCATCACAAGGTTGGCAATAAGATCCAGTTGCTACTAATGATAAATATCAGCAAGTTTAAAATCCTTAAGTATTATATTTGTGACATTTTTGTCAATACTAGGGTAATCAAAACTTGGTAACTTGACAGTTTTCATGGCGATACCATAAGAAAACTCTGCATTGAATGTAATGAAACTACAATTTCTGGGCAAGCCTTGGTGGGTCCCTGAAGCTACCTCACCAAGATGGCTTCCAACTTGCTATGTTGCATCAGCCATGGAATTCTGTTCAGCCTACCGGGAACCAGAGGCAGAACCTGGCCCCCACCTCACCAGGGAGGGCAACCAGAAAGTCAGCAAACCAATACAGATCAGTTGGATGACATGGGGAATGTGCCTCAGTTTACCAGTGCCTTGTGCCCAGTGACAATCCCGCCTGAATTCTTGGCAAGGATTTACAGTTTCTTTTCGGATTTTTGGTTATTTGAGCATATAAGTAGTCGTTATATATTTCGCCATGGGTCCCCCCAAAAAGCCAGTGGTAAGGTTCAAGACAAGAAAACACATGTAAGAATAACCATAGAGAAAAAACGAGATCATTTGTAAACATGAAAATGGTACTCATGTTGTTGAACTAGCTGGGCAGTACAACAAATCTTCAAGGAAGGAAGAGGAGGCAGTATAGAATGTCCCTTCCTCATTAAGAAAATGTGCGCGGTATGGGAAGGACTGCAAAGTTTTGCTGAAAAGAATCACCCAGATAAAGCTGTAGTAGGTCACTGCAGTAATCTTTTCAATGACAATGTGATGCCTCACTACAGACAAGTGTTGCAAGGGCAAAAACAATCTTCAATGGAACGTTTCCTTGTGAGAAAAGTGAGAAAATCAAGCAGTGAGCCACAACCAGGAACTAGTGGTATGCAGGAAAAACGTGCCAGAGTGCACTCCAGAGAAATCTTCACTGCCTGATGTTATAATGGAAGGGGACTCCCCTTCCAAATAGTAACACCTTTCTTCCCCCCCCCTCCTCACCATCTTCCATATGCCAACAGGAGTCATCAGCAAGGGTAAGTAATAACTTGAACATACTTTTGTAGTAAAGATTTGGGTGAATTAGGTATAAAATTTACTTTGAAGTGAAGTTTTTGAAGAGTCAGCAACGGATTAATTCATTTCCAATTATTTCTTATGGGGAAATTCACTTCCGTTTACGAATTTTCGGGTTACAAACCGTCTCCAGGAATGGATTAAATTCTTAAACTGAGGTACCCTCGCCCTGAAGATGCAGGGCACCTGACAGCTGGGTGGACAGCCCTTCGGATTCGTAGTCCTGAGGTTCCGGGTTTGATCCCCGGTGGAGGCAGAGACAAATGGGTAAAATGTTTCTTTCACCCTGATGCCCCTGTTACCTAGCAGTAAATAGGTACCTGGGAATTAGACAGCTGCTACGGGCTGCTTCCTGGTGGTGTGTAACAAAAAGGAGGCCTGGTCGAGTACTGGGCCGCGGGGACGCCGAGCCCTGAAATCAACTCAAGGTAACCCCTGTAGTTCATTAGACGGGTATTCTTTATTCATACAATAGAAGATTTTAGTATTAAATACTGGGTAGGTAAAATGACAAAACTGCTACACACAACTTTACATAATTTAGTGCCTTTTGGGGTGGTTCTAGTGTCGAGTGAAATACCAAGTTGGGAACTCTGCTTGTGTTTTTCAGTGGCATTAGTAAAGTGGGGGCTGGTGGTCAGTGGATCTCTAATACAGAAGTATTTTTCTCACAACCCCATCACGGCTTTTAAGCAAATAATGACTTCTTTCGTGAATAAAATGAGGAGTGCAAGAAGAATAACGTACAGGAGACTGATAATGATAACAGTGAAGGTGGCAAAAATTATGTTTTGACTGCTTCTAGTTCAAATTTTCAAACTGGATCCATGTGCAATTCAGAAAGTAATGGTACTTTGAAATCTAACTTGTATCCCTGTTCAGGTGTTTGGACTGAAGAAATGTGGAAGAAAAAAGGAAACCTATCCATGGTTAGACTTCATGGATGATAAAGTTGGGTGTAAAATACTGTATGTGCAAACATAAGCATTGTAACACTTGTCACGTCTAAGGGTTTAAGACTATCAAATGAGTGGCTGATGTACCAAGTATCCTTACCAGACATTGCAATGCCAGACATTAATCTGGCATTGTTCACTTTGATCACTTTGATCACTCTGATCACTTTAGCTTACTGGAACTACAAAAGCCCCATTTCATGTTCTTGGATCTAATTGAACTACCTTATTTATTTTTATTTATATACAAGAGTTCTTACATTTTTGTACAGCCACTAGCACACATAGCATTTCAGGCAAGTCCTCAATCCTATGTTCTCCTGGAATACGATTCTGCCAAATCTTTTAACAACCAGGTACCCATTTTACTGTTGGGTTAAACAGAGGCTACAGTCAAGGATTTGTGCCCAGTAAATCCTCTCCGGCCAGGATATGAACCCAGGACAAAATGCTCGTGAAACGCTAGACAAGTGTTTCTGAGAATTCTACCTGATCAGAAAGCAGCAACTAATGCTAGGCATCTACAGAGCTCTCTCAATTATTATGGGTTTCATGACATATTTGAAATAGAACCTTGTAGCATTTGCTAGTGATGTGGCAAGTGTCTTGCTTGGTGCCAAATCTGGTGTTGCAACAATTCTCAAGGAACATTACTCTGACGTAATAATCTGGCATTGTTTTAATCACAGATTAGAACTAGCAGTAGGTGATTCAGTAAGAGAAGTTCATGGAATTAATCATTTTCAAGCCTTTATGGACAAATTGTACTCAGTTTCTAGTAGATCACCTCTAATCAAAAGGAACTATCTGAATCTGCCTCTCAACTTTAACAGATTTACAAAATAGGCCGTGTTCTGAGCACCAGGTGGGTGGCCAGCTCGTTTCAAACAGTTTTAGCAGTGTGGAAAAATAATGAAGCCCCTTTGTTTTCAAATTGAAAAAGCAGTGAAAAATGAAACAAGATTTGACAGTGATAGAAAAACCTATGAAGACCTGTTGAAAAAGCTAACTTCAGAACAGTTTCTATTGGATTTAGCTCTAATGTATGACATGTTGCATGAATTTGGTTTACTGTCAGTGTCTACAGAAACACACTATGTACTCCGATTGTGTATGCAGACAAACCGATTCAACTTCTGAACCTCAATGTATAAATCACTGCTAAGTGAAATGGGTGTCCTAGAAAAAGACTACTGGCCTGATGAAATACCTCCTAATTACAGAGAAGCTGAAATATTATCTTTCTATAAGAAGTTTAAGCCATCTTCTTACTCTGTGCCAAGTGCCCTTAGAGACAATGTGGAGGATCATGGATGCCGCATCCCCCCAAGATTTACACCCATTATTGAGCCGTTTACAAGTTATTCCTATTAGTACCGTCGAGTGAGAGAGAGGATTCAGTCACATGAACCTGATAACAACAACATGTTCAAGAATTCTCATAAATCATGCTTCACTCATGTTTGTTAAACTACACGAGACCTCTAATTCAGTGGAATCCCGAGCCATCTGCTGTACAACAGATCGGCAGATGACACCAGGACATCTACCCTCAAGATAACCTCAAGGACAAGAGTTGCATCAGACCCCTGAAAACATTTCACACCTGACCCTTTGTGGAAACTATTGTGAAACTTCTCACTGGTTGTATTTTGTGAGCACTAAGTGTTTTTTTATGCAGACAAGTATAGACCCAGAACTTAACCTCTTATCCACTATCTATGACAATAATCACTTTAATGATCTAAATTGCAGATATTTTGCAGCACATGATGTAAACAATGTATTAACTCATAATCACAATATCTCTGTAATCAATTTGAACGTTAGATCCCTAGGTAAACACTTCGATGATGTTAGTGCCTTGATTGAAACTATTGGCAACAAATTCTCTTTTATTATACTTACTGAAACATGGTTGAAAGAGGATACTACTCAACTCTTTAACATGCCTAACTACTCGGCAATTCACAACTGTCGTCAACTTCAGAGAGGTGGTGGCACTGCTCTTTACTACCACCAAGAACTAACATGCTTAAAAGAAATTAGAACTAGAGACTGCTATGGGGAGTATATCTTTGCCAGCTTCAGAGTCAAGGGTGCCGAGTCTGTCCTGTCTGTGGGTGCAGTCTATAGAATTCCTAACGCTGATGTGTCTGAATTCAACTCAAACCTTAGAAATCTAATACGTGATAACAGACTGAACAAAAACCACCTAATTATCGCAGGGGACTTTAATATTGACCTCTGCGAGCCAGAACACCCTACTGCTGTTAGCTTCCTCAACTGTATGAATTCCTGCTTCCTCATACCCTTAATCACTAGACCTACTAGAATCACTGATAGCACTGCCACGACTCTAGATCACATCTGGACCAACATAACCTCTCCGCTTACTTCAGGTATAATCACCGATAGCACTACAGACCATTACCCCACATTTCTCTTAACTAACATTAGCAAACCACCTCTAGAAACAAGGGAGTTAAGCTTTAGGCTGCACAATGAAACTGCTATAAACAATTTTATAACTGCTGCTGATAATGTCAACTGGGAGTCCGAGTTATGTAACATAGGGGTCATCAACCTAGCAGTGCAATCTTTTCTACAAACAACTCTTAGCCTTTATAACACCCACTGTCCTATGCTTACAAAACAAGTCACAAGCAAAAGGCTTAACAATCCTTGGCTTACAAAGGGAATACTTAAATCCATTAACAAAAAACACGACCTTGAGAAGAAGTATAGGTTAGGAATTGTCTCCAAAGAATTCTCAAAGAATTACTCATTATTGCTATCTAAGATAATTAGACGAGCCAAAACTAAATACTACAAAGATAAATTTACCCAAATAAAGAGCAACATTAAACAAATTTGGAGCACAATTTCACAAATATTGGGATCAAAGAAATCTTTAAATAACAAACCGACTCTCCTGTCTAATAACGATGGTCAGCTTTCAGCCTCTGATTCTGCTATTGAGTTCAATAGGTTCTTCTCTTCCATTGGTTCATCCCTTGCAAATGATATTCCATCTTCCAGTACTGACATTAACCCTTGCACTGCTCACCTATTTTCGGCAAAAACGTCTTGGTGCAATTGTCAAGGACATATTTTTGTTATTTTTACAAATGTTCAGGTAAATTTAATGTCAAAATGTTTCCAAAGTCAACTATTTCCATTTCAAAACACAAATAGTAATGAAAACATTAACAAACATTAAAATATAGCCAAATTAAAAAACAAAAAGCACAACTCTCTGAGCGCCTAAAGGCGCTTTGCGCAGTGCAGTGGTTAAGGACTATCTTACAGGTAACTATCCACAGTCTCTGTACCTAAAGCCTATTAACCCCACTGACGTCAATGAGATAATCCTTTCCCTTAAAACCAAGTCTGGTGCCCTTGAGGAGATACCAACTTTAATTTACAAAAAAGCCTCCAGATCTTTAGCCCCTGCTATTGCTTTGCTCTTCAACAAGTCACTTGAACTCCAAACCTTTCCAGATATTCTAAAAAAAGCGAGAGTAACGCCTGTCCACAAATGTGGTGATCCCACAGATGTTAACAACTACAGACCTATATCAATCCTGCCAAACTTGTCAAAAAATTTTGAAAAACTAATCTATAAGCAGCTTTACTCATATCTAGCCAAACTCAATATACTTAGCCCTTGCCAATATGGTTTCAGACCCAAAAAAAGCACTAACGATGCACTTATTAGTATGCTTAACTCAATTCATACAGCTCTTGATAAAAAGGAGTTCCCTGTTGGGTTATTTGTGGACCTGCGTAAAGCTTTTGATACTGTCAACCACCAAAACCTCCTTCTTAAATTACATCATTATGGAGTCAGAGGACACTCCCTACAATACCTCAAATCCTACCTTACTGACAGGCTCCAATATGTTTCTGTGAATAATACAATTTCTCCCACCCTACCCATCAACATTGGTGTTCCTCAGGGCAGCATACTTGGCCCTCTCCTCTTTCTCATCTACATTAATGAGCTTCCAAATGCCTCCCAACACCTCAAACCAATTCTATTTGCTGACGACACAACCTTCATTTACTCCAGTCCTGACCCCCTTGCTCTAAATGCCACAGTAAATACTGAGCTAAATAAAGTCCATCTTTGGCTAACTGCCAACAAACTCACCCTTAACATTAACATAACCTACCTCACTCCTCTATTTCAACCCATGTCTGTTATTTCTTTTTTTTAATCAACACTGTTTGTCAACCTAATTGATAAATATACGATTGATGTTTTTCTTGCCCGAAACGCATTTTTTTTTTTTATAATTATATTTTATGATAGAGAGTACGATTGATTTTTTTTTTTAATAATTATATTTTATGATAGAGAGTACAAATACGAAATACTTAGTGTGACATATATAAAAACAGGATAGGAAATTACAGGCTTTTGTTAGACCCACCAAAGCTCCAGCACCTATAAAATTTGCACTGCACCGCTGGACACTGCAGACAACCTGAGGCAAGCCTTGGAACAGAGAACCAAGAAAACAAACAGGTTTGTTCTCTTTTGGGGCGAGTTCTTTGGCTGTGTTCGGACGTAGGTTGCAATTTTCACTAGTAAAGGGCTTTTATTGTTTTGCCTACCTTTCTGGGCACTTTCCTTGATTGATGGCAGAAATAGCATATGCACTCTAAATGTAGAGTGCTCATATAGCCATTGCTCCCTGTGCCCCTCTGAGGGAGCCACAATTTGGCTCGTGGCCTCCCCCAGTAGACACTAGAACTCCCGGGACTGATGATACCCAACTATTATGGCACATGTCAGTTCGATAGCTTCAGGGAGCCGACAGGGTTGCCGCAGAAATATACTGTATATTAATAAACATTACTATTAAAATTAAATTTACTTTATGGCTTAAAATGATTACTAGTTTTAATAGCAAAATTTCAAAAGGCTATTTTCCAAGAAAATATATATGGTATACAATACATAATACTTAACCTATGAGTACTTGGCATAGCTACATACTGTGTTTGTGACAACTGCTGACCATGGACCAAGTATAAGTACAGCCCCAGTTAACCATTCCATTAGTTTTGTCATAATGATCTGTAAATTAATAAATGCATGAAATACAAGCAAATATTCATGTCATAATTCTGTGTAGAATACAGTACAGTATCATCTAAGGCTAGATATATTAAATCCTAAATCTGTATCATGTTAAATGTGGAATAAAAATGTCTTGCGTGTTCAGGCCACATTGTTCAATGTTCTATCATTACAATTGTCTTAAGGTAAACATTAATGTTAAACTACACATGAAGCACCAACTCTTAGCTAAGCACCACTGTACTCGAAATCTAGTTAAATATATCAATTTATTCCTTCAACCCTCTTATTTTATCAGGGTTGATTTTATCAGATCATCAGAGTTAAAGTTTTTAAAGTACTGTACCTCGGTCAATAAGCAGCTCCAACCCTGCTTATTGACACCTGTGAGAGCTCCAACGCTGCTCAGTGACACACCGGTGAGGACTCCAACGCTACTTATTGACACCTGTGAGAGCTCCAACGCTGCTCAGTGACACACCGGTGAGGACTCCAACGCTACTTATTGACACCTGTGAGAGCTCCAACGCTGCGTATTGACACCTGTGAGAGCTTCAACGCTGCTCAGTGACACACCGGTGAGGACTCCAACGCTACTTATTGACACCTGTGAGAGCTCCAACGCTACTTATTGACACCTGTGAGAGCTTCAACGCTGCTCAGTGACACCTGTGAGAGCTTCAACGCTGCTCAGTGACACCTGTGAGAGCTTCAACGCTGCTCAGCGACACACCGGTGAGGGCTCCAACGCTACTTATTGACACCTGTGAGCTCCAACGCTGCTCAGTGATACAACGGTGAGAGGTTTCCAACGCTGCTCAATGACATACCTGTGAAGACTCCAACGCTGATCCGTGAAACACCTGTGAGGACTCGAACGCTGATCGGTGACACACCTGTGAGAGCTCTAACAACAAGCTGACGTTGACCACAACACTTTTCCTGGTCGGTGCCGCCATCTGTTGATCGGCTGCAGAAACCGAAGTTACCCAAAGAAAATGATGAAACGTAAACTAAGTTATTGCTGTCATAAAATGTTCCTGACACAGTCAGCAATTTAATCGTACTGTATATTTAAAATTCACAGTTACATGATGCAGGAAACTGCAGTGGAACTCTAGTTCACCAGGCTGGTGCATGTCTACAATAGGTTCTGACCCACGACGTTATTTACGGCAATGTGGTAGCGGACGCGGCCCCAGGGATAACGCACCGTCTCCATGACATCCTTTTTGCCTCATTTATCTGAGGGACACTAGTACTAGTGGCCTTGATGATCATGCCTGTTCCTTTGGACATTTCGGGAACTTTCCCGCAGTTCCGGCCGGCCTACCTCGCAGGCTGGGAGGCGGAGTTGGCATCGGCCCTTAAGGTACTGTCCCTGGTGAGCCTTCGGGGAAGCACCTCGCGATCGTGAGCCTGACATCACTCCAAACTCCTGGGCATTTCCCTCACTTGCCTTCAGATTGGATATTCTTGCCTAGCTGCGCATCTCCATCGCCTCCGGTTGGAAAATCCCCCAACTTCTCTGTTGCAATCGGTTCTATAGCGTCCGTGTCAGGCTTCAGAGAGCCATCTGTAGGTTGTTATTGCTGTTGTTGTGTTATTGTGTGTTGTTGATTTAGGGGCGACGATGATTGTGGGATCGGATGCGCCCCGGTGTACCCGTGAAGAGTTAATTGCATATTGAATGTCACTTATCAACGAAAACTAAAGTGCCTCGCGGCAAATAAATACGCAGATGGGCAGATGCATGATTGGGGGATCCCCAAAAGTTCCTCAGGGTGACAAGCACCGGCCCCATCCCACAGAGAGAACAATGGGTAACAAAACCAAAAACTCGGCCCACAACTAAAACGCAAAAGTCATCCAGTGTCCGTCGGCAGAGCAGAAGCCAGCCGCTCAACACCGCTGAGGAAACACCGGGAGCCCACAAAGATCCACCATCTCCGGGGCACCTCTCGGCCAAGCCGGCGCCGGACACCGACACCCCCGGCCGAAAAACACAGCCAGAAAACGCTCAAAATCTATCAGCTATCCTGCGACCCAAGGTGATAGGTGCGCCAGGCGTCGTAACAATACGGACCGTTGAATAGGTACCGTTAATACTGCCAACGGCAGTATCAAAATGCAAAATCGCGAAATAGAGCATGATCCGACGGCCCCCAGGGGGAAGGTGTCCAGACGTCCGCTAGTTGTCAAAGTTGAACTTCCGTAGGTTGCATGTTCGCATCACAGTTCCCGTTCTCCTGGACGGAGCAGGGGCGAGAGCTAGACGACGATGCCAGGTATGAAATCCTTTGCCTCACCTTTCGTTTCAGTGGTCATGTCCGTGGTCCGAAGAGGTTTTAGGGATCCCATCCCGCTTCAACTTTTCCCGATGTTAGGTTACCGGGGCGCATCTGATGACTCTTAACCCCTTACAGATTACTACGGCAGTTCTTTTACTCAATTAACCCTTAATCCATTTCAACAAATATCCTCTGATAATCAAAAAAAAGCTAGCTGCTCTTGGATAAGTTCCATATTAGCTGTGTCAAAAGCAGCTTGGAGGTCAAGAAAGGCTATGTGAGTGTTTGGTTCCTGCCTGATGAAGTACTCAGCAAAGCAAGATTGTGTACTACTCCCAGGGAGAAAGCCATGCAAGTTAGAAGTTAGTTGACGTTTATGATTTTCAACATTAGCCTACTGAGGACAATCCTCTCAAGGACCTTGCACATGCAAAAAGTAAAGATATAGGTCTAAATTTGTTCGAGTTTGCTTAGGTGTTGGATTATGAGGCTTTGCGTCCAACGATCTGGTAGGACACCTTGGCGTAGACGTTGTCTGTACAGTTCTAGCAGCGAAGTATTAGGTATGTCAGTAAGAAGCCTCAGGGTACTGTACGTTATGCCATTGTCTCCAGGGAAAGTTGCTCTGCCCTTCTCAAGTGCAGTTTCAAGCTCAAATAGAGAAATGTCATAAGCATCATCTGGGCCCATTTCACTATAGACAATTTCAATATTAAAACCCCTATTAACATTAGTACTGGAAGATGTTGTTGTATATTTTGGGCAGATTCGATATGCAAGTAGTGCTTGCATACTGTTCTAGCAGCATGTCAGCATAAGCTGTTGAGGAGTAATGAGCAAGTTGAGGAGTATTATGCAAGGTTACATAGTTATATATATATATATATATATATATATATATATATATATATATATATATATATATATATATATATATATATATATATATATATGTCGTACCTAATAGCCAGAACGCACTTCTCAGCCTACTATTCAAGGCCCGATTTGCCTAATAAGCCAAGTTTTCATGAATTAATGTTTTTTCGTCTACCTAACCTACCTAACCTAACCTAACCTAGCTTTTTTTGGCTACCTAACCTAACCTTACCTATAAATATAGGTTAGGTTAGGTTAGGTAGGGTTGGTTAGGTTCGGTCATATATCTACGTTAATTTTAACTCCAATAAAAAAAAATTGACCTCATACATAGAGAAAAGGGTTGCTTTATCATTTCATAAGAAAAAAATTATAGTAAATATATTAATTCAGGAAAACTTGGCTTATTAGGCAAATCGGGCCTTGAATAGTAGGCTGAGAAGTGAGTTCTGGCTACTAGGTACGACATATATATATATATATATATATATATATATATATATATATATATATATATAAGTGTATGTGAATATATATATATTTACATACATGAATATATACAAATATATTGATCAGCTAAAAAATATTTAGTTTAGCTAAAGTTTTTAGTATATTGAAAAATTAAAATATTATTAAAAAAGTAAATAAAAGCATAACAATCTAAAAAGAATCAAATAAACACATTTTATACTCAAATTAAAGCTTATGTTGACTCTAAAAGGATATTTTGGTTTATGGCGTTGATGTGGATCTCGTGGAGTGTTGGCGGACGTTGCTGCAGCCTCAGTGTGGCTGCGGAGTGAGGAGGGGAGGGACGTATCGAGTTGCTCGTGGGGAGCATTCATGCACATTCAGTTTTTATAAGCGTATCGACTAAATTTTAATTTATTGTCAATGAATATGGACACTAAAGATTACGACCATGTCAGAAATCTCACACTTTTATTCTTCCTTGACCGGCTCATGGACAAGGGTCAACCCCGGACGTTGCATGACCTAAGCTGTCAGTTTGGGACTAAAGGCTTTACGAAGGAGATGCGCCAGATTGCTGGCGGCTCACAATCTGGCTTGAGAAAGTTCCTACAGCAATATCCGTCTCTATTTACCTTGGAGGATGACTATGTGAGTGTTACGAACTACAGCAATGGCATCTCCAACCCACACGACCCGACTGGTAAACTGCTTGGCAAGCGAGACTATGCCCAGGAAGCTGTGGATTATTTCGTGGGTAAATTACGCCAGTACGGAGCCGGGACGGAGGTGCCTATAAAGTCCCTTCTCGGTCACCGGTCGCAAGCGTCGCCGGAGGTGCGTCATGTGTCCGGACAGCATGTGAAGGAGTTCCGGGACTTCCTTGTGAGATACCCCGAAGTGTTCGTGGTGAGGGAGGAGACCGTCATCCTCAAGGAATATGAGGGAGTCGCGCCCCAACCCTTTAAGGAACTGGAGGTGCCGCAGATCGACCCGATCCTCACACAGCAGGTGGGTGACACGCCTTACGGTGCTCACACAGCAGGTGGGTGACACGCCTTACGGTGCTCACACAGCAGGTGGGTGACACGCCTTACGGTGCTCACACAGCAGGTGGGTGACACGCCTTACGGTGCTCACACAGCAGGTGGGTGACACGCCTTACGGTCCTCACACAGCAGGTGGGTGACACACCTCACAGTGCTCACACAGCAGGTGGGTGACACGCCTCACGGTCCTCACACAATAGGTCGGGGGACACTTACGCTACTCACACAGCAGATGGGTGATAGCTTACACTACTCACCGAGCAAGTAGGTGACATCTTATGGTGCTCTCAGAAGGTGGGTGGCACACCTTTCGGTGCTCACACAGCAGATGGGTGACATACCTAGTGGGGCTCACACAATAGGTGGGGGAGGGATACGTTTACAGTGCTCACACAGCAGGTGGGTGACACCATACACTGCTCACATAATAGGTGGGTGGACACTTACGGTACTCACACAGCAGGTGGAGGACACACCTCACGGTACACACACACAGTAGGTGGGTGACAAATTACAGTGCCCATACAGCAGGTGTGTGACACATTACATTGCCCATACAGCAGGTGGGTGACACATTACAGTGCCCATACAGCAGGTGGGTGACACATTACAGTGCCCATACAGCAGGTGGGTGACACATTACAGTGCCCATACAGCAGGTGGGTGACACATTACAGTGCCCATACAGTAGGTGGGTGACACATTACAGTGCCCATACAGCAGGTGGGTGACACATTACAGTGCCCATACAGTAGGTGGGTGACACATTACAGTGCCCATACAGTAGGTGGGTGACACATTACAGTGCTCATACAGCAGGTGGGTGACACATTACAGTGCTCATACAGTAGGTGGGTGACACACCTTACGGTGCTCACACGGTAGGTGAATGGCACACAATATAACATGTTCGTCAAAAACAATAGTTGGTGTAGACTGTGGATAGAATGTGTAAACTGTACACTACACTTTATTCATTCCGTGTATACAATGAAAAATATAACAAAATCAACTGTTTGTCTTACTTCAAACTCCAAGATGACTAACTTTATTTAAATATTTACCTGAATTTACTCGAGGGCCACTATCTCCAGTCGACGAGGACAGGAAGCCGGTGGCTTGTCAAAGGTGCTCCCATTTGTTCTGATGATCTTATTGAGCTGTATTTTAAAATTCAAAAGTGTTGTATTCATATTTTTACGTTATATTGAAAATTTTGTACTCTCTAGGTAATAAGTTTGGTACATTCATTAAAATACTTTTGGCAACACTGCTGCCAACATTCATTCCTTTCATCCGAGAGGACAATAATAGTTTTCCCATTGTTGTCCCTCTGGCACCTATCCCAGCCCCAGGAAAACACTCCCTCATCCTATTATGAGTATCCTTTGAACCAAAGGCTTGAACCAACTACGTATCTCACAGGAGAATCGCCAGAACCAATGTTGTTTTCTTTTGTTGAAATGTTGGGTCGCCCTACCTGTTGGGTCCATGTTCGGGGTTTCCTCCCGCGTCAGAGAACTGCTGGGTTGTCTCCACTCTTGATTTCCATATTGTTAGCCTGTCGTCCTTTACAAAAGAACATAAGAACAAGGTAACTGCAGAAGGCCTATTGGCCCATACGAGGCAGTTCCTATTTATAACCACCCAATCCCGCTCATATGCATGTCCAACCCACGCTTGAAACAATCGAGGGACCCCATCTCCACCACGTTACACGGTAATTGGTTCCACAAATCAACAACCCTGTTACCTAACCAGTATTTACCCAAGTCTTTCCTAAATCTAAACTTATCCAATTTATACCCATTGTTTCATGTTCTGTCTTCTGACTGTAACCAACAGTCCATTGACCTGTTGGAAAGATTCAGTCGGTTCTCCCCACTACCATACAGCATTGTTAATGTGTGGCCACGTCTGTGGTAGAAAATAATAATAATAATAATAAAAACAATCTAGCTATCCTGCTTTGAAGTTTGTCAACCACAATTGGCTTTAAGTTTATACTATGAACTTCGAGTATTTACTATGTTGTTTAAGATGCCTAGATTTATAATGGAACTGGTCAAAGTTGTCCTCAGCAAATAAGTCTTAGTATTGGCTTGTGTGTTAGGTGGCATTGGATAGGTCATTATGGGTTATTCACTGATGTAGCCTTCGGAACAAATTCTGCACGTGGTGACGAGGACAAGTTGACTAGGTTAGTAGTTACCAAGAAGGAAGCTATTAAGTAGAACAAATAAAAACAAAGAAGACCCCGAGACCAGACGGAATGTTTTCCAGGGTTCCTGGAACCCTGGGTTCCAGGAACCCTGGATTCTTCTGGTTTCTGCCCGAAACGCTTTGCGTAATAGTGACTTTAGGCATTGTATGTACTAGCTCTATCTATAAATCCATCAACTTTTGTATCTTACCTTGTATGTATGTACCTTACCTGAATAAAAATTTATTTATTTATTTATTATTCCTGAAAGAATGTTAATATGAGCTTACTGAGCCTTTATCCAGGGTCTCGGTAGTGCAATTGAGTTCGTTCTCAATTCACAATCGGGAATACCAGTTTCGAATCCTGGGCGGGACAAATGTAGTGCACGTGTCCTATCACCTAATGTCGCTATTCACCTAACAGTAAATAGGGTGCCCCTGGAGTTAGTTAACTGTTGTGGGGTAGCATCCTTGGAGGGGTCAGTAGGTCGACCTTGGGGGGACCGCGATGTGACTCTAACGTATAAATATCTACAGGCTGCCTGTCCCCGACAAATTTAATTAAATCGAATAGATGCATATTTTTTAAAGAAATAAAATAAATCACTTACGTCCAAGTATTGGTCATTTAACTTAACGTCTGGGATATAGACGTATCTGGCAGCTTTCTCAAACCCCAAATGTCGAGTACACAATGTGTCAACTTTGTGAAAGAGAAAACATGCACTCTCTTGAACATTATATTGTAGAATGTCCCATATTGACTGACTTTCGCCCTCCTGGGCTAAGGTATGCTGAACTCTGTAATTACTATATGAGTACTGGAACACTTGATGATATATTGGACTTGTATCCAAGATTAATCATGTAATGTATCAATTATACAATGTATGTATGTGATGTAACTATAGAACCTGAGCTTGTAAAAGCACCTTAATCACCTACAGTGATTAAGTGCTTAATTGCACACTAGTTTCTCTGTCAGCTATCTCACCCTGTCAGAGTAAGAGACATATGCATGTGACTTCATGTGTGTGTGTATATGTATATGTACGTATATGTGTATGTATATGTATGTGTATAAAGTACATATGGAAGCTGATCAGAATTACATTTCACCTTTGTAAATGCACATTAATGACACTTCGAACACTTTATGTAGGGCATACGTAAATCTGTGTATCTATGTATTTACGTATGTAGGTTAGCGTAGCATTTTAAAAGCACCGAATCACCTTCTGTGGTTGATTGTTCAATAAATCCCTGAACTATATGTGTAACAGATCTCTAACCCTGTCCATGGAGGACAGAAGAAAATGTATATATACTGGTTAGGATTGTAAATGTGTGGCCACGTCTGTGGTAGAAAATAATAATAATAATAAAAATTAAGGGCTATTATAGGAAAACTGTTTTAATTGATAATCGCAAAAGTTACTCTTTTAAATCATAAAAACCAGATTGAAAAAAGAACTAGCAACATGGTTTTAAAATAGGTCTCTCGTGTTTAACAAATTTAACCGCATAAGAATCAAGGAAACTGTAGAAGGCCTAGTGGCCCGTACGTGGGAGCTCCTATTTATATCCATCCAAAATCATTCAAATGTATGTCTAACCTATGCTTTAAACCATCAAGGGATCCTACGTGTATTATGTTATGCCGTAATCTGTTCCACAAATCGACAACCCTGTTACCGAACCAGTATTTACCAAGGTTTCCTAAATCTAAACTTATCCAATTTATATCCGGCGTTTCGTTTTCAATTATGTGTTGATATATATAATACCGTATTAATATCTCCCCCTGTTATGTCCATTCATCTTTGTTATCCACCGAGTTTTTTGGAAGTTTGCCATAGCAAAGCACATCGTACATACTATAATAATATATGCAGTTAGAAAATTCCCCCCCAAAATGTGTTATGTTTACCATATTTTTCTGGGTTCAAAAATATTGTCAAGACCTTTTGAAACTTTTTAATATACACATATTGCTTAATTACAAAAATTATGTTGAAAAACTATTAGCTAGAAACAGTTCTCGTAGAGATTTACAAAATACCTTGTAAAGACTGTAATAGGTTCTATGTAGGGCAAACATCCAAAGATTTGAAATTTAGAATTTCGCAACACAAATGCTCTGTAAGACATGACCAATTGTCTAATACTTTGTTCATTTGTCACAAAGTTCTCACCAAATTATTGGGAGAGGGCTTTTTCAATAACGAATTGTAAAACCATTTTCAATAGAAACATCATTGAATATGCTTTAATACATATTACAAAATCATATAATTTGAACATTAGTAGTGGTTTGTATAATTTAGATCTATTTTCGATTGACCAGTTAAATACTATTTGAGTAAGATCATTGATACACATTTATATCACTAATACCATATTAATATCCTCGTATCTCATTAAAGACATTGTTTCTTACCTCAATTCATCCCTGCCAATATATCCACACCACTGAATTGTAAATCCATCCTTCTGAAGATGTATTATTAAATATGAAAGTACTTAAGGCATTTCCTATATTAATTATATATATATATATATATATATATATATATATATATATATATATATATATATATATATATATATATATATATATATATATATGTATATGTATTCAGGGTTCGAGTCTCCTGATGGGAAAGTGTTCTAAAGTTGTAAAACTTCACTTGCGTGTTTAGGCAAGTTACTGCATTAAGCATAGACACAGTGTTCTTCCATATTAACAGGGACTTG